TCAGCCTGGCCATTCCTGCAAGGACATCCGGGACTCCGGATATTCCGTTGGAGATGGGGAGTACTGGATCGACCCTGAGAAGAACGGAAACCCTTTAAAGGTCTACTGTGACATGACAACTGACGGAGGTGAGATGCAAATGCTCGATCATGTTAAAAAAAGTAAAGGAACTGAATTGGATTTGAGTTTCTGAAATTCTACTTCATGATGTTTGAAACATTTAGTTCATGTTGGTTGATGTTGGCTTCGTTTTGCACAGGAGGCTGGCTTCTTGTTTCCAACGTTGTGGTAGACGACCCGTCCTCGCGACAGCTTTGGATTGCGTCATCATACCGTGAAATCAGCAACTGCCACTGGAACAAAACGTTGTTCATCACAGAAAATGCCATGAAAGAACTGAGAACACACTTGTCTTTCACTCAGCTGAGATTCCACTGCAACAAACAAAAGGGACGAATGATCCACGTGACCACAGCTGCAAATAGCTCTGGTGAAGCTGTAGTTCAGTACTTCAGCGGTCAGACGGATAGGCGACCTTTGGCGTGTGGCTCGTTTAATAGAATGAAAGATGATAACTCCGATATAACTGGAGTCTGTCACCAATGGAAAGACCAGCAGTGGGGTTACCCACCGTCGGCAAAGGGACATTGACCGACCACCCCTTTTATGTCCCTAACAAATATCACTGGTTGTTGACTCCTGGAAATCAAAGATGGGAGTGTGACGACTATATTTCTAACAGATTTTTTGCGTTGTCCTCTGGCGATTTCTGGAAAGTCTTTGTTCGTTAAGGCCTGGAAACACCTACATCCGCTTTCACTTTTCCTGTGAAACTTTTCTCTGCAAAGTAAGACGTCATGATCATCGGATAACTGTAACGAGCTTTCAAACTTTTTTTATTTGTTTTTTATCATTCGAACAATTTGCGAGGTTTTCGTTTTTATATTTCGTATGTTAGTTTGTGGCCTGAACGTCTTGGAGGAGTTGGTATTTTACCTCTTATTCAAATACTACGGAGCCTTAGGGGATTAGATAGATTGTGTTGCAAAATCCTCCGACCGACCTCTACCCCACCCCCCCTCCCCCTTCTGGAGATACGAAATGACTGGTACTACGGACAAGCGAGTCTTTACAACACTTGGAAGTACCTTTGCTTTGACGTTGAGTTAAGCCTCCTTAAAATCTCCTGGTACAATCATTCAGGGAGACTATTTCAATTTATCGCTCTGTTTTGATTTGCAGTTGGTTTGCTAGTTTGAGTTTGTTTTTACAACCGTTGCTTTTAGAAAAAATTGGTTGTTCAAGGTAATTTCATAACAATAGTTCACTTAGAAATGCAAATTTCATTAGGAAAACTTGGAATAGAAATGCTGAGACAAATTTGTTAGAAGATGTAGTAACATTATTAAAAAAAAACACGTTACAGCAGGGTTGACGTAGCCATTTCACACACGAAATTTTAAAATAATAAATTTCAGTAGATTTTGATGTTTAAAAAGCTCAAGGTAAAACTATTTCTAAAGTGATTTTGTAAATATTTGACATGTATATGATTATGCGCACAGACACACACAACCTTTTCATTCCCGTTCCGTTCCCAAACTTCATTAGTATGGGTACGGAACGACTTAACTAACTGAGTACGAATGGTCTTAGCTGGGTACGAAACGACTGGCATCCGCCCGTGGTTGTCGGTGAATTTCTTTGGGTTGTTGGCGAACCGGCCTTGCATGGGATGTCGGCAAGCTGGCCCAAGTTATCAGCGAGGGCCTAAGTAATCGGCAAACTGGCCTTGGTTGTCGGCACACCGGCCTAAATCGTCGACAAACCGGCCTTGGACAAAGATACAAACACAACATCGACGAATATATCAATAAATCGATAGAGTTTAAGCATATTACATAAGCATAATACATAATACTGTGTTCCTGATATTCTTTGCAGTGCTTATATTGCATTTTGGTTTTTACATAATCTCATTGTAATGGTTTCTGAAAAAACCATCATTGTACGAAGCCAATAAAGTTATTACTATTATTGTCATTATTATGGATCGAAAGTCTATCTGATTTGATTAACCACATACAACTGACTCGAGGTGACTAAAGAAGGAATTATTTAAATCAGCGCTGACTTTGATTGGTAAAAGTATGAAGACTTTGTAAAATTCAGTTTTGTGTCCGAGACGTAATCAGCAAAATTATTCCAATTAAACATGTTAGAGCTTACAATCAAACTGAACACCTTAGGTTTGACTTGATCAACCACACTGTCTTCAATTTTTCTTGCCTACTTTATCCCAGTGAGTCGCCTGCGGGGATGCGCTTTGTGTGCGCCCCGAAGCGTCAGGCGACCGAGCAGTAAAAACGAGTAACAAAGCCGAGGACGATTGTGACGGGAAATAAGAAGCACACCAAAACTGCTGGCTGTCGGCTCTGCCGTGGGTGGGGAATATACGACCACTGCAGCACAAGGTGTACAGAGACCGTGTTTGACGAGGGTGCAGCCAAACGATTGGTTGTATGTTATATCTTTAATAAAACAGTATATTGTTTAAACTTATGACTTTCCAATTAGTACCTCGCTCAAGGTAAGTGTGATTTTTTCCCCTTTGTTATTAAGGATTATAAGAAATCGACCTTACAGAAAAAATTTTGTAAACATGCCAAGCGCCGTAATTTACGTTGTTATAACGCGAGTAGAGACAAAAGTCCTCAAAGAGAACCGAAGTGGACAGTCCGAGTTTAGAAGGTTTTCACACTCAGTTAGATTGCAAGCTTACGTACGGTAATAAAAAGCAAACACAGCTAACACTCCTATACTATATAAAGTTTTTTGTTCAAAACGAAACAGGAAAAACAGGAACGATGAAAAATATAGCCAAACTGGCACAACTGTTAAATTTCATACTAATCATGAAGGTGCCAGAGCGACTGCAATTACGCTGAGGTCCATCGCGGCTAAACCATCATGGTGATCTCTGATAATCACAGTGAAGAAAGCCTAAGAAATTACATCGGCCGCCCTTCGAGTGAGCATCTAAGAGCTTGCTCTGATATCCTTTCTGATGCACTGCTGGAGTGGATGGCCACATAAGTCACAGCAGCCGAGTTTAACGGCGCTGTCATCTCAAGCAATCTTCGTGTTCCTGTAAATTCGGCTGTCGTTCCTTCATAAAACACACGTCTTGAGCAGTTTGTTTTCTGATTGTTATGTGAAAAAACTTGCGTGATATTATGAGCCACAATTCAGCCGGATTTCACTGAACATTTCACTTTCAGATTGTCTACGTCTCGTGTTTCTCCCCACTTCTCTCGTGCTCTGGCCGCTTCCTGCGTGCTTTTGCAACAAAACAGGGCACAGTCAAGGCTTCTCTATTTGTTAATTATAATTCAACAGATACGTTCCCGAGAAAAAGCGTAAGAGCTGCTCAAGGCGAAGCCGAGAGGAATTTTAGTTCTCGAGTACTAAAAAAATATAACTCTAACTAATTTGGCGAAGCAAAAATAGGGGGTCTTCATTTCGCCTTTCTTATTGAGCATAAAACGATCTTGTTAATTTTATGGGTTACAAGGCAGAGAAATTCGGAACTTTGCCGGTTTTTTTTGATTTATCGATCGGAGAGCTGAGAATGACAAAAAAATGTTTATTTGGACGGACGTAACGTTTTAAGGTGTCATATGTTAATATATATATATATATATATATAGATATATATATATATATATATAGATATATATATATATATATATATATATATATAAAAGAGTGTGGGGTAGAGTCTACCTTGGCATAAAGTGCTTAATGCTGTGGTAGCAGAGCAGACAGACAGAACTTTTCAAATTTCAGTTCTCTCTGACGAGCCCTTAGGCGCGAAACTCAGAGTCACAGAGAATCGATGCGTCGAATTTAATTATTCAACTTATGTTTATATATATATATATTTACATATATATATATATATATATATATATTCGTTTCGTTTCTGCAAAGATAATATGTTGAAGCACAAGTTGGTACTGTAACCTGTTTACAAAAAGTTTGCAGCCTGATGCAAATTAGTAGGTTCGCTTTATCTTTAACTCCCAGGTTTATTACGTTTTATGTTCTCGGCATCTGTATCAACGTTCTCAGTAGTTCTTTACTTTAAACAGAGTATATTATTTTGAACGGCTATTAGTGATTATGAAAACTTTCACGCGATATAAGGTGATCAGAGCTAAACGGATGTAATCCACTTGTTACTTAACTAAGCGAAAAAAGGTTATTCAAAGGATGAAATGGATGAGTTTTTGTCCTCTCGATTTCATGTCAACGAAAACAAAGTGAAAAAATCCATTTTCTTTTACTTTGTATAAATTATGTCATGCATCCTGTGTTGATGTTTCTCGTGAGCAAAGTCGACTCTTTAATTGCAAATTCCTCAAAACAAAAGTCACCCTGTTGATTTGGCGAATCAGATTATCAATGAGAATGATAAAAGTAGAAACTAACTCTTCTATTACTGCGACGAACAAAAGGAGTTTTCGTGCAAACTGAAGAGCAATTAAAGCGATGAATAAAAAGGAATCATGAATTATAGATAAGAAGTATTTCAATTGTGAGTCAATGACCCTCAGAGGAAGGCAAATATAAGAAAGCTGATATGCAACAAGAAAGCTAAGGAGCTCCACCTGGGAAAGATAAAACGGCCAATTTCAGTATGGCTGTTTTATGGCTGACCCAGTTTGCCGTTGTTAGCCTAAACATCCTTTTGGGAATTCTGTTTGTCCTAGCAAACAAGGACTTTTGTGGAAGCGTTTTTGAAACTCGAGTCGGTGAGTAAATACTTCTAAATAAAAAAAGAAAAGAGGAAAACACCGATTCTTATACTCTCTTTGTATAGCTAGTAGTTACTAGAAAGAACGTTTTTTTCCTTACAGACCATGCCTTGGTGGGTCATGTTATTCAGACGACTGTTGTTATGGACGAGTTTGAATGCCAGTTAAAATGTATGGCAAATAGCAGCTGTAAGTCGATCAATGTTCATCCCGGTGACAGCAATAGCCCAAGGGGCGGGAATCCGTCTTACCGCTGAAATACTGTACAACAGCTTCACCAGAGCTGTTAGCAACGGTAGTCACGTGGATTGTACGTCCTTTTTGTTTACTGCAATGAAATCTCAGCTGAGTGAAGGACAAGTGTGTTCTCAGTTATTTCATGGTATCCTTCGTGATAAACAGCGTCTTATTTTCGTGACCATTGCTGATTTCACGGTATGAAGATTTAATCCAAAGCTGTCGCGAGGACGGGTCGTCCACCAAAACGTTGGAAACAAGAAGCCAACCTCCTGGAAAAAAACAAATGAAATCTGAACATTGGACGCGATGCCTGTTCCAATTTTTATTGCGGTATGCACCTAACTCAACAACAACTTCATTGATTGTCTTTTATTTTCCAAAGTATTTTTTACCTCCGTCGGTTGTCATGTCACAGTAGACCTTTAGTGGCTTTCCGTTCTTCTCAGGGTCGATCCAGTACTTCCCGTTTTTTGAAAGAAACGTGAGTCTCGGATGTCCTTACAGGAATGACCAGGCTGATGGTAATATAAGCCTCTGGTCGCTGAAAAGGAGATGAGGTTTGATCATGATGGGTTTATTAATCTTCACACACCAGGTAAGACGCTGAAAAAAGGGGAGAAAGCTATACGCAAAGTTGAACACGACGGTCCGCATTTATCTTCAGAAATGCGTTTTAAAAAGGAGTCCCCAATTGAAAATTTCCACCATCCTCATTGCACTTTATAGTCATGTATTTTGTTTGACAACGTCTACAATATAAATTTTCTATAACAGTCTCATCACTTACGTGTTTCACAATGTTTTCCTTTGTATCCTGGATGACACTGGCCGCTTTTAGTTGTTTGTTTTCGCCCGCGAGAAACACTCATGCAGGAGGCCTGATTAGTAAAACAGAAAGGTGAACTTTTTTCTTCCCGTTCTGCCATCGATTGTTGTTCAGAGTAAACAAAGCTTGTTTTCTCGTTATCAGTATTCAGACGCTTAATGTGCGATTTTTAAAAGCAAATTTGACGTTACCCTTACACTCTTGTCAACACTCAGAACATACTATACAAGCGGAAATGAAACCTTTTGGTTCGAAGGTTGTTGCAAAACAGGAATTGTAAAGTGATGGAGATAGTTAAGACTCGCTTGAAAAACGTTTGCCCGTGATTTTAAACTGCCTGATGTAAGCCAATAACAAATGATTCTCTCAGTTTTCATTAGTATATAGCAGTAGTTCCGAAAAATTGTTCTTGGCAGTGAATAAGATAGGAAAGTTATCAACAAACCTGCCTAACCCACAACCCACCTGAACAGAGCTATAATATTTAGATCCTTTCTTCTTTTGAAGACGACCTGGCTTCATCTGCCGTGTTTTATTATTCAACTCACAGCTGCGTTTTCCTCCAAAACAACCGCAAGTTGTCATCAATGGAAAGACATGAAGTGGGGATCAGTAAAAGTTGTACAGGAAAGGTTAAACGATTTTCCTTTATATTTAGCAGGCGCTAATCACTGGTATTTGCCAAATGGGGATCAAAGATGGGAGTGCGACGACTTCAAGGAGAACTCTCATACAGAATTTTTTTCGCTGTCCTCTGATGATTTTTGGAAAGTCTTTGTTCGCTAAGACCTAAAAGCGACAGTCAAATACACCTACTTTCACAGCCTTGAAAAGCTCTAACAACACACGCAGAAAAATACGATATTTTTTCAGGTGTGTTTAATATAGCCAATCAGCTGCTGACACGTCAATCGCCTTTCACGTCTGTTGTTGATGAATGAACGGCGAGTCTTCACCATTCTCAATTCAAGGTTGTTTGTCGGAATGTTCTCGGATTATGGCTGCTAAAACACTGAAAAATCCGTATCGCTGACAGACAGTGACATTCAAATTTTCCTAAAAGAGGAAGTAAACCAAAATACCAAAAGAAAAAACCGAAAGTTACGTATTCAGTTCCCTTGGTAATGGCATTTCTCACCGCTGAGAACGAAAATCGATTGCTGGAAGATTTGTCAATATTTGCTGTGTGCCTGAAAGATTTCTTCTGTTGGTAAGGACAAGGTCAATAACTGAGAATTTTGTATATTGAATATTACGCCCAATTTTGCTTTTAGAAAGATTCAACGCATTCTTTCATCTTGAGCCTCAGCGCCAACGCAATTTTCGATTTTTTCGAACTTTCTCGAATTAGGCAGCTAAAACTCTAAAAAATCCGTACCGCTGACAGACAGTGAGGTTCAAACTTCCCTAGAAGAGGAAAAAAAAACCGAAAGCTACGCATTCAGTGGCTTTGGTGTTGGCATTTTTCGCGGCTGACAATGAAAATCGACAACTGGAAGATTTACCACAGGCAGATTTTGGCCGTTTACCTGAAAGACTTCATCTGTCGGTAAGGACAAAGCCAATAAATGAGAATTTTTTTAAATTGAAATGACGACTATTGTTGTTTTTGTAATCATGATTCAACGCATTTTTCCATCTTAAGAGTTAGCGCCAACGCACTTTACAATTTTTATTCGGAGATTGTCAATTCTTTTATTTCCATTCGTTAATAAAGTCAACTTTTCTTGTCAGTAAAGAGCTATTGTGAGGGAGAGGAGAGAACAGAAACTGGGATAAGCTCCAGTCTGATTAGCTATATGACTCAAGTACAGACATTACCACTCTTTTTGAAAAAGCATTACAGATCAGAAAAACAGAGAGAAAAAGAAAAAAGTGACCTTGCGGGAACATATATCTTGATACACTGAATTTGTCATCAGGCATAATTTTAAACACATTCACGTCGAAGCCTCACTGGTCCTGCACAAGATTCTCATAACATTTTCTACTCCGAAATAATTGTTTTCACGGGAAGCCACATTTATCATTTGTGTTTGAACTTATTACAAAATAGCCAATATGTCATACCTAATGAATTTTATATCATGGTCATAAATTATGGATTATCTACATGTGTTATCAAGTTGAATTTCTAACGAGTTATCAACTGAAGGGTCGCTCTAACATTTCCTATTATACTCGAGTTAAAATCATGGAAACAGCTTTCAAATCTTCCCACTTGTCGCAAGTTCGGTCAATCTTGCTGCATTTTTCATCCGCAAGTCTTTAGCTCTTTGTTTCGTAACTGTTTACCAAAAAAAGTGTACGTTTTCGTGAGCCAAAAATTGGCTGGATTCCATGCCACCGGACAAGAGACATTAAGTTTCGTAATTTTTACCTTTTAAATAAAAACTAACTATAAATTGGTGGATCTCCACTCCAAAAGCCAATTAAAATTGATATTATGGGTGAAGTTCACTTTGTGATTAACAGCTGTTTTCTCGATAGCCAATCAAACACTTTGGACCTTTCCAACCATTAAGGTTGTTTCAAAATGTGAAAATTTCGATAAGTGTGCTAACTCCTTCAAAGCTCACAATTTAATTTTATGGAAAAAAAAGCCACCTTTTTTTAAAAAGAGAGAAAATAAGCCCCCAAAAGCAATTAAAGGACTAAAACTAAGATGAAAAACAGCTTTTAATAATAAATAATGTTTATTTTTAATTGAAATTGTCGTCCAATAAGGAGGGGCCCTATTTCTACAGGGAAACAAATTAAGACGAATTAAGAGAGGCTGATTTAAATGCAGATTATGTTTCTCAAGTGAAGAAGTTCCGCTTGGATAAGAAGAGCGATGATACAGAAATAAAGTAGAATGACTGTTTTATGGCTGCTCCAGTTTTCCATTGTGACTCTTCAAATCGTCCTCGGAATCCTGTTTGCCCTGGCAAAAGGAGACTTTTGTGGAAGCGTTTTCGAAACTCAACTGGGTGAGTTAAAACTCAAACTGAACGATTAGGATCTTCTTGATTCTTAGGCTTTGTTTTACATATATTCAGGTGAAAAAGCATTAGTCCTTTTGCTTCGCCTTTCAGATCATGCATTAGCAGGTCATGTTGTGTATACGACTGTTGTTGTGGACGAGTTTGAATGTCAGTTAAAATGTATGGGAAACAACCGTTGCAAGTCGATCAATGTTCACCCCGGTGACAGCATTGGACAACGTATATGTGAGTTGAATAATAAAACGCGGCAGATGAAGCCACAGGATTTTAGAAAAAGGAAAGGATCTACATACTATAGCTCTGCTCAGGTTGGTACTAAGTTTTATGGTTACCGTAGTTAATTGCCAAAATGCCGAAGATCTTTGGTAAAGTTTTGAGCGTGATTGGAATGACAATTCTAGCCTCCTCAGTGCAAAAAAACATAGCTCTTTATTTCACACAGCCATTGAATTTGGCTGTTGAGGGCGAAACAAAAATGGGTAGTTTCATTTCTTCTTGCGTTTTGAGCATAAAACCTTCTCGATTATTTTTTTAGGTTACAAACCAGAGAAATTCAGAACTTTATTGTTTTTTTCATTCTCCTTATCTATCTGAGAGCTAAGAAATACAAGAGAGTATTTGCTTAATTTGTACAGACGTAACGTTGAACATAAGTTGAACATATGTGTTATATACCTATAACCGCTGTGTTTCTGCGAAGATAACTTGTTGAAGCACGAGTTGATGATGTCACCTGTTAATAATAACTTTGGAGCCTGATTCAAATTATTAGGTATCCTTCATCTGTTAGTCTTAGGTTGACAATGTTTTCGGTATGTTCTCGGCATTTGTATTAACGTCCTTACTAGTTCTTTAGTTTGAAAAAAATATTTTATTTTGAACGGCTATTCTTCATCAAAAATACTTTCATGTTTATAACGTGACCAGAGCTAAATGGATGTAATCCACTTTGTACTTTATAAAGAGAACACAATTGAAAAAATTATCCAAGAATGAGATGGATAAGCAAATTTTCTTTTTGTCTCGATGCAATGTCAATAAAGCAACGGGAAACAAATCAACTTTCCTTATTTTTGTATTAATTGTGTCAGGCTTCCTGTATGGATATTTCTCGTGAGCAAAGGCGACCCACTAAGAGCGCTCAGTGTCATCCGGGATACCAAGGAACACGGTGCCAAATGCGTAAGTGGTCAGAAGATTTTGCCTGTTACGTATTCACAGCTTTTTAGACAAATTAAACTGCATAATCATTACCGGTTGCCTCCTTTTGACAGCTCGAGGCTAAGGATAATGTTACTGACCTTGTTATAAATGAGTCATGAAGTTAGCGGAACTTGTCGAGAACAAACTTAAACAAAACATAAAGTGGCGAGAGAACACATGCAGAATCTCACAAACGGAGGCGTATGTGAAGCATAAAACTGTTCTGTTGCGGTCCGGCCGGCTGGATGTTTAATTAAAGTATAACACATTTGCGACTCCAAAAGTATCCAAAATTAACTCTGTCACCAAAATATTTCACCTTTAGGAAAAACATTTTTTTTCTCGGATATGCCCTTATATCCACCAAGATATAGAAATAAATATTATGAATAATACTGGGCGATAAAGTAACATTACAAACATTACTTCTACTCACTGTATGTTGTGGCAGAGTGAAACCAAGACTCCTGTTCTTTATAATAAGTTCATTTATATTTATGGTTGAAAAAAGGAAAATTAGCTTTCATTTTTGTTTCATGATTTTAATAATAAGCTCCCGTGGTGAGAGTATTCATCCGCAGTGAAGGTTGCGAGGATCTGGGAATCACAGCAAACACTTGTGGTATTGCTTACATCAAAGTGAATGGAAAAGATTATTCTCCACACATCAGAGGCCATAACGTGGTTGTTATCAACGCTATCACAGGTATTATAATCAAGATCGGAGATAAAGCGCGCTGTCATTTGTTGAAAGAGCGCTCTATCAGGGTACAAAAGACAGAGTTGAGTTACGCCATCCACTACTTTGTACTATGTTCCACCATTTCCCGTACTTTTCTCTTGCTTTTTTTCGGTAATTAAAGTGAAATTTCGGAACAAACGAGCCGGCAAGTAGTAACAGAAGAGCCAAGCAAAGGTTTGTAAACATGCCATGCCATGCCATGAAAAATTAACCAAATCGGCATAACTGTTACAATTCATACAAATCATGACGGTCTCAGAGCGATTGCGATCATGCTGAGGTCCATCGCAGCTAGCTCATCATGGCGATCTCCGATCATCGCAGTAAAGCAAGCCTCAAAAATTACATCAGCCCCTCTTCGAGTGAACAACTAAGAGCTTGCTCTGATATCCTTTCCGATGCATTGAGTGGATGGCCACATCAGTCACAGCAGCCGAGTTTAACGGCGCTGTCATCTCGAGCAATCTTCATGTTCCTGCGAATCAGTCGGCTGTCCTTCATACGTAAAACACACGCCTTGAGAAGTTTGTTTTTTAATTGTCATGACAAAAAACTTGCGGGTTTTTATGAGCCACAATTCGGCCGGATTTCACTGGATATTTCACTTTCAGATTCCGTATTAAAACTGGAAACCTTTGGCGAAAGTGTTAAATTCGACCTGCCGAAATATTTCAGGTTATGAACTATTGCAGATTGTGAACTGAGAGGGTTTGACACTTTTGACGGCTTTTGTCTTGTTCAACCAATCAAATTATTTGAACCATTCTAACAAGGATTCTGATTGGCTTATTGTAGCATGCTTATGAGAGTATAGAGCATGCTGACGACATTGATGTTTGCTTTGAAATCAAGGTTTGTTTTGAAAATTGAAAGTAATGCGTGGGAAACTTAAAGGATTCTTTTTTATAAAACAAATAGCGAAGCCTTGACTGTGCTCTATTCTGTTGTAAAGCACTTAGGAAGCAGCTGGAGCACTCCAAAATCATCATGAAGGGTTACTTATCTGGGGCGAAATAAAAGCAGGTAGTAAAACCTTACTTCTGACGACTTTCCCGAAAAAGGCAAACCGGTGTGAGCTTTTGTTTTCCGCGAATACGCCAGAAGGTAACACCGCTGTCTCCCTATCGACTCCATGGTCTTTATTTAATAGAACGATGTGCTCAGTTTAAAATCTGCGCGGTTAGCTCCAGCTCGAATGATCATAATCTCTTTAAGCTACCAGTCATCTGGAAGATGTACGTCTTCATTATAAGCTTGATTGTAGTGGAAGGGAAACGTTTGTTACCATTCTTCATTTGCAGGTACTGTACTAGGAGCCAAAGGATTTGACACTCATGCGAATAGTTCCGCTGGTATTCACCTGAGAGATTACCTTAACGGAATCAAAGGAGAGTATGTGCCACATTGACGTGCTTTTATATATGTTCATAGAACAAAAAAAAACGAAAGCTGATATAAAACAAATGTAAAGGAAGGAAATGATCATCCAACCCTCTAAGGAGGGTTGGAAGATATATATATATATATATATATATATATATATAAAGAATTCATAATCTCTTAAAAGATACATATTTTTCTCTTTCTAACGACCGTTCGGGATTGTTTCCAATGTCAAACGCATGAAAATTTGTCGCAATAACTCCTATCCGAAACTGAATCAGAAATATACTCACAAAACGAGATTCTGTTAATTCCGTGGGGAACTTATTTCAAAATATTAGCACATTAATGCCTCATAGAGGTTTTCGTTATTGCACTTTTTTCGTAATTTGTAATAAAATGCATTTGTTTGCCATTCTCACGGAAAAATCATGTTTGTTCCAATTGCAGAAAAATCGTTCTGGTCGCCATTCAAGATCAAGGCTCGACACACATATCACCAGCGATTGAAGCTCTAAAAAGAGTTGGCGCCACCGATGACCTACTCAATCTGACAGAGTTCAGAGCATCTTTTGCTTTGGTGGGATTCGCCGGTGTGAATAGACCATCTTGGATTGCACAACAAAATGCCAAGCGAGAAAGGGGACCCAGTGAGATATCTCTGACAATCCCATCATCAGAAGGTATATCTTCGTTCTATTGATACCCTATAGCGGAATTTCAGCTTTTAAATAAGTGAACGGGCCCATCATAGCGAGCCAGCCACGCATTGACTCAGCATTTTCAGGCTCTCGTGCACTCATATCGGTGTGTGTTGATTAACAAGACAAAACCACATTTTCTCCTGTAGCTATCAAAGGCTTATATTACAATCAGCCTGGCCATTCCTGCAAGGACATCCGGGACTCCGGATATTCCGTTGGAGATGGGGAGTACTGGATCGACCCTGAGAAGAACGGAAACCCTTTAAAGGTCTACTGTGACATGACAACTGACGGAGGTAAGACGAAAATGCTCGACCATGTTAAAAAGTAAAGGAACTGAATTGGATTTGAGTTTCTGGAATTCTACTTCATGATGTTTGAAACATTTAGTTCATGTTGGTTGATGTTGGCTTTGTTTTGCACAGGAGGCTGGCTTCTTGTTTCCAACGTTGTGGTAGACGACCCGTCCTCGCGACAGCTTTGGATTGCGTCATCATACCGTGAAATCAGCAACTGCCACTGGAACAAAACGTTGTTCATCACAGAAAATGCCATGAAAGAACTGAGAACACACTTGTCTTTCACTCAGCTGAGATTCCACTGCAACAAACAAAAAGGACGAATGATCCACGTGACCACAGCTGCAAACAGCTCTGGTAAAGCTGTAGTCCGGTACTTCAGCGGTCAGACGGATGATCGACCTTTGGCGTGTGGCTCGTTTAATAGAATGAAAGATGATAACTCCAATATAGCTGGAGTCTGTCACCAATGGGAAGGCCAGCAGTGGGGTCACTCACCGTCGGCAAAAGAGACATTGACCGACCACGCCTTTTTTGTCCCTATAAAATATCACTGGTTGTTGACTCCTGGAAATCAAAGATGGGAGTGTGACGACTATATTTATGACGGATTTTTTGCGTTGTCCTCTGGCGATTTCTGGAAAGTCTTTGTTCGTTAAGGCCTGGAAACACCTACATCCGCTTCCTCTTTTCCTGTAAAACTTTTCTCTGCAAAGTAAGACGTGATGATCATCGGATAACTGTAAAGAGCTTTCAAACTTTTTTTATTTGTTTTTTATCATTCGAACAATTTGCGAGGTTTTCGTTTTTATATTTCGTGTGTTAGTTTGTGGCCTGAACGTCACGGAGGAGTCGGTATTTCACCTCTTAAATACCATAATAGTGACTAACTTATAACTTCTCCATACAGTATCACCCTTGAATTAAATATTGTGGTCATAGGAATAAAGGAAATGATCACCAGCCTAGGAAGTCCATAACTGTCAAACAAATTCTCCTCGGCAGCACCATAGGAAATGTATAGAGAACAGAATGGTGAACATCCATACTGATGTTAGGGTGTTAAGAGTTAAAATCTTTTTATCTTTCAAAGTAAACCCGACCCAAAAGATTTGTTCATCTATCTGTTTTTTTTCCTTTACTTTTTTTCGGGAAGTCATTATTTTATTGCCGCGAAGGAGGAGGGGGGAGGGAGGGTGTCAGGCGGGGCTGTTCGGAGGATTTTTGGGGAATCGCATGGTTTTCAGGCGAAGCTGAGATGATATTAGTCTTCGGTAACATAATATATAAAGGAAGGACTGTAGATAATCGTTTGCAAATGATGGAGTGGGGGGAAGTATTCATATACTACGGAGCCTTAGGGGACTAGGTAGATTGTGTTGTAAAATCCTCCGACCGATCTCTACCCCAACCCTCCTCCCCCTTCTGGAGATAAGAAATGATTGGTCCCTTAGTACGGACAAGCGAGTCTTTACAACACTCGGAGGTACCTTTGCTTTGACGTTGAGTTAAGCCTTCTTAAAATCTCCTACTACAATCATTCAGGGAGAACTTAAAGACTATTTCAATTTATCGCTCTGTTTTGGTTTGCAGTTGGTTTGCTAGTTTGAGTTTGTTTTTACAACCGTTGCTTTTAGAAAAAATTGGTTGTTCGAGGTAATTTCATAACAATAGTTCACTTAGAAATGCAAATTTCATTAGGAAAACTTGGAATAGAAATGCTGAGACAAATTTGTTAGAAGATGTAGTAACATTGTTTAAAAAACACATTACAGCAGGGTTGACGTAGCCATTTCACACATGAAATTTTAAAAATAATAAATTTCAGTACATTTTGATATTTAAAAAGCTCAAGGTAAAACTATTTCTAAAGTGATTTTAAATCAATTCATTTGTAAATATTTGACATGTAGGTGATTATGCGCACAGACACACACAACCTTTTCATTCCTGTTCCGTACCCAAACTTCATTAGTATGGGTACGGAACGACTTAACTAACTGTGTGCGAATGGTCTTAGCTGGGCACGAAACCACTGGCATCCGCCCGAGGTTGTCGGTGAATTTCTTCGGGTTGTTAGCGAGCTGGCCTAGCATTGGATGTCGGCAAGCTGGCCCAAGTTGTCAGCGAGGGAGCCTAAGTAATCGGCAAACTGGCCTTGGTTGTCGACACACTGGCCTAAATCGTCGGCAAACTGGCCTAGGACACAGACACAAACACAACATCAACGTATATTTCAATAAGTCGATAGAGTTTAAGCATATTACATAAGCATAATACATAATACTGTGTTCCTGATATTCTTTGCAGTGCTTATATTGCATTTTGGTTTTTACATAATCTCATTGTAATGGTTTCTGAAAAAACCATCATTGTACGAAGCCAATAAAGTTATTACTATTATTATTATTATTATTATAGATCGAAAGTCTATCTGATTTGATCAACCACATACAACTGACTCGAGGTGACTAAAGAAGGAATGATTTAAGTCAGCGCTGACTTCGATTGGTAAAAGTATGAAGGCATTATAAAATTCAGTTTTGTGTCCGAGACATAATCCCCAAAATTATTCCAATTAAACATGTTAAAGCTTACAATCAAATTGAACACCTTAGGTTTGACTTGATCAACCACATTGTCTTCAGTTTTTGTTGCCTATATTAGCCCAGTGAGTCGCCTGCGGGGATACGCTTTGTGTGCGCCCCGAAGCGTCAGGCGACCGAGCAGTAAAAACGAGTGACAAAGCCGAGGACGATTGTGACGGGAAATAAGAAGCAAATCGTAACTGCTGACTGTCGGCTGTGCCGTGGGTGGGGAATATACGACCACTGCAACACAAGGTGTACAGAGACCGTGTTTGAAGAGGGTGCAGCCAAACGATTGGTTGCATGTCATATCTGTCATAAAACAGTATATTGTTTAAACTTATGACTTTCCAATTAGTACCACGCTCAAGGTGAGTGTGATTTTTTTTCCCTTTGTTATTAAGGATTACTAACAAAGGTTTGTAAACATGCCAAGTGCCGTAATTTACGTTATTATAACGCGAGTAGAGACGAAAGTCCTCAAAGAGAACCGAAGTGGACAGTCCGAGTTCAGAAGGTTTTCACACTCAGTTAGATTGCAAGCTTACGCACGGTAATAAAAACAAACACAGCTAACACTCCTATACTATACAAAGTTTTGTGTTCAAAACAAAACAGAAAAAACAGGAACGATGAAAAATATAACCAAACTGGCACAACTGTTAAATTTCATACTAATCATGAAGGTGCCAGAGCGACTGCGATTACGCTGAGGTCCATCGCGGCTAAACCATCATGGTGATCTCCGATAATCACAGTGAAGAAAGCCTAAGAAATTACATTGGCCGCCCTTCCAGTGAACAACAAAGAGCTTGCTCTGATATCCTTTCTGATACACTGGGTGGATGGCTACATCAGTCACAGCAGCCGAGTTTAACGGCGCTGTCATCTCAAACAATCTTCGTGTTCCTGTAAATTCGGCTGTCGTTCCTTCATAAAACACACGTCTTGAGCAGTTTGTTTTCTGATTGTTATGTGAAAAAACTTGCGTGATATTATGAGCCACAATTCAGCCGGATTTCACTGAACATTTCACTTTCAGGTTGTCTACGTCTCGTGTTTCTCCCCACTTCTCTGGTGCTGTGGCCGCTTCCTGCGTGCTTTACGACAAAACAGGGCACAGTCAAGGCTTCTCTATTTGTTAAGTATAATTCAACAGATACGTTCTCGAAAAAAAGCGTAAGAGCTGCTCAAGGCGAAGCCGAGAGGAATTTTAGTTCTCGAGTACTAAAAAAATATAACTCTAACTAATTTGGCGAAGCAAAAATAGGGGTCTTCATTTCGCCTTTCTTATTGAGCATAAAACGATCTTGTTAATTTTATGGGTTACAAGGCAGAGAAATTCGGAACTTTACCGGTTTTTTCGATTTATCGATCGGAGAGCTGAGAATGACAAAATAATGTTTATTTGGACGGACGTAACGTTTTAAGGTGTCATATGTAAATATATATATATATATATATAAACGAATGTGGGGGTAGAGTCTACCTTGGCATAAAGTGCTTAATGCTGTAGTAGCAGAGCAGACAGACAGAACTTTTCAACTTTTCAGTTCTGTCTGACGAGCCCTTAGGCGCGAGACTCAGAGTCACAGAGAATCGATGCGTCCTCTTAAATTATTTAACTTATGTATAAATAAACTATATATATATATATATATATATTCGTTTCGTTTCTGCAAAGATAACATGTTGAAGCACAAGTTGGTAATGTAACCTGTTTACAAAAAGTTTGCAGCCTGATGCAAATTAGTAGGTTCGCTTTATCTTTAACTCCCAGGTTTATTACGTTTTATGTTCTCGGCATCTGTATCAACGTTCTCAGTAGTTCTTTACTTTAAACAGAGTATATTATTTTGAACGGCTATTAGTGATTATGAAAACTTTCACGCGATATAAGGTGATCAGAGCTAAACGGATGTAATCCACTTGTTACTTAACTAAGCGAAAAAAAGTTATTCAAAGGATGAAATGGATGAGTTTTTGTCCTCTCGATTTCGTGTCAATGAAAACAAAGTGAAAAAATCCATTTTCCTTTACTTTGTATAAATTATGTCATGCATCCTGTGCGGATGTTTCTTGTGAGCAAAGTCGACTCTTTAATTGCAAATTCCTCAAAACAAAAGTCACCCTGTTGATTTGGCGAATCAGATTATCAATGATAATGATAAAAGTAGAAACAAACTCTTCTATTACTGCGACGAGCAAAAGAAATTTTCGTGCAAACTGAAGAGCAATTAAAGCGATGAATAAAAATGAATCATGAATTATAGATAAGAAGTATTTCAATTGTGAGTCAATGACTCTCAGAGGAAGGCAAATATAAGAAAGCTGATATGCAACAAGAAAACTAAGGAGCTCCACCTGGGAAAGATAAAACGGCCAATTTCAGTATGGCTGTTTTATGGCTGACCCAGTTTGCCATTGTTAGCCTAAACATCCTTTTGGGAATTCTGTTTGTCCTAGCAGACAAAGACTTTTGTGGAAGCGTTTTTGAAACTCGAGTCGGTGAGTAAATACTTCTAAATAAAAAAAGAAAAGAGGAAAACACCGATTCTTATACTCTCTTTGTATAGCTAGTAGTTACTAGAAAGAACGTTTTTTTTCGTTACAGACCATGCCTTGGTGGGTCATGTTATTCAGACGACTGTTGTTGTGGACGAGTTTGAATGCCAGTTGAAATGTATGGCAAATAGCAGCTGTAAGTCGATCAATGTTCATCCCGGTGACAGCAATAGCCTAAGGGGCGGGAATCCGTCTTACCGCTGAAATACTGTACAACAGCTTCACCAGAGCTGTTAGCAACGGTAGTCACGTGGATTGTACGTCCTTTTTGTTTACTGCAATGAAATCTCAGCTGAGTGAAGGACAAGTGTGTTCTCAGTTATTTCATGGCATCCTTCGTGATAAACAGCGTTTTATTTTCGTGACCGTTGCTGGTTGCTTCAAGGTATGAAGATTTAATCCAAAGCTGTCGCGAGGACGGGTCGTCCACCAAAACGTTGGAAACAAGAAGCCAACCTCCTGGAAAAAACGAATGAAATCTGGACATTAGACGCGATGCCTGTTACAATTTTTATTGCAGTATGTACCTAACTCAACAACAACTTCATTGATTGTCTTTTATTTTCCAAAGTATTTTTAACTCCGTCAGTTGTCATGTCATAGACCTTTAATGGCTTTCCGTTCTTCTCAGGGTCGATCCAGTACTTCCCGTTTTTGAAAGAAACGTGAGTCTCGGATGTCCTTACAGGAATGACCAGGCTGATTGTAATATAAGCCTCTGGTAGCTGAAAAGGAAATGAGGTTTGATCATGATGGGTTTATTAATCTTCACACACCAGGTAAGACGCTGAAAAAAGGGGAGAAAGCTATACGCAAACTTGAACACGACGGTCCACATTTATCTTCAGAAATGCGTTTTGAAAAAGAGTCCCCAATTGAAAATTTCCACCATCCTCATTGCACTTAATAGTCATGTATTTTGTTTGACAACGTCTACAATATAACTGTTCTATAGTAGTCTCATCACTTACGTGTTTCACAATGTTTTCCTTTGTATCCTGGATGACACTGGCAGCTTTTAGTTGTTTGTTTTCGCCCGCGAGAAACACTCATGCAGGAGGCCTGATTAGTAAAACAGAAAGGTGAACTTTTTTCTTCCCGTTCTGCCATCGATTGTTGTTCAGAGTAAACAAAGCTTTTTTTCTCGTTATCAGTATTCAGACGCTTAATGTGCGATTTTTAAAAGCAAATTTGACGTTACCCTTACACTCTTGTCAACACTCAGAACATGCTGTACAAGCGGAAATGAAACCTTTTGGTTCGAAGGTTGTTGCAAAACAGGAATTGCAAACTGATGGAGATAGTTAAGACTCGCTGGAAAAACGTTTGCCCGAGATTTTAAACTGCCTGATGTAAGCCAATAACAAATGATTCTCTCAGTTTTCATTAGTATATAGCAGTAGTTCCGAAAAATTGTTCTTGGCAGTGAATAAGATAGGAAAGTTATCAACAAACCTGCTTAACCCACAACCCACCTGAACAGAGCTATAATATTTATATCCTTTCTTCTTTTGAAGATGACCTGGCTTCATTTGCCGTGTTTTATTATTCAACTCACAGCTGCGTTTTCCTCCAAAACAACCGCAACTTGTCATCAATGTAAAGACATGAAGTGGGGATCAGTAAAAGTCGTACAGGAAAGGTTAAACGATTCAACCTTATATTTACCAGGCGCTAATCACTGGTATTTGCCAAATGGGGATCAAAGATGGGAGTGGGACGACTTCAAGAGGAACTCTCATACAGAATTTTTTTCGCTGTCATTTGATGATTTTTGGAAAGTCTTTGTTCGCTAAGACCTAAAAGCGACAGTCAAATACATCTACTTTCACAGCCTTGAAAAGCTCTAACAACACACGCAGAAAAATACGATATTTTTTCAGGTGTGTTTGATATAGCCAATCAGCTGCTGACACGTCAATCGCCTTTCACGTCTGTTATTGATGAATGAACGGCAAAGTCTTCACCATTCTCAATTCAAGGTCGTTTGTCGGAATGTCCCCGGATTATGGCTGCTAAAACACTGAAAAATCCGTATCGCTGACAGACAGTGACATTCAAATTTTCCTAAAAAAGAGGAAGTAAACCAAAATACCAAAAGAAAAAACCGAAAGTTACGTATTCAGTGCCCTTGGTAATGGCATTTCTCACCGCTGAGAACGAAAATCGATTGCTGGAAGATTTGTCAACTTTTGCTGTGTACCTGAAAGATTTCTTCTGTTGGTAAGGACAAGGTCAATAACAGAGAATTTTGTAAATTGAATATTACGCCCAATTTTGCTTTTAGAAAGATTCAACGCATTCTTTCATCTTGAGCTTTAGCGCCAACGCAGTTTTCGATTTTTTCGAACTTTCTCGAATTAGGCAGCTAAAACTCTAAAAAATCCGTACTGCTGACAGACAGTGAGGTTCAAACTTCCCTAGAAGAGGAAAAAAAACCGATATACAAAAATACAGTGACAGTGAGGTTCAAACTTCCCTAGAAGAAGAAAAAAAACCGAAAGCTACGCATTCAGTGGCTTTGGTGTTGGCATTTTTCGCAGCTGACAATGAAAATTGACAACTGGAAGATTTACCTCAGGCAGATTTTGGCCGTTTACCTGAAAGACTTCATCTGTCGGTAAGGACAAAGCCAATAAATGATAATTTTTTAGATTGAAATGACGACTATTGTTGTTTTTGTAATCATGTTTTAACGCATTTTTCCTTCCTAGGAGTTAGCGCCAACGCACTTTACGATATTTATTAGGGGATTGTCAATTCTTTTATTTCCATTCGTTAATAAAGTCAACTTTTTTTGTCAGTAAAGAGCTATTGTGTTTATATGATAAACAAAATAATACATTGTTGCTTGTAGATATTGAATTTCTCTTCTCGTGTTGAACTCGACATCTCACTCGTTAGCCGCGCTTACTTGTGAGCTATCGAGTTGAACACTCGAAGAGAAACTCTACATCTACGCACTTATGTACTATTCGCTATATAACATTCATTTGAATTTTGGTCCTCTTTTACTTTCAGTCAGTATGATTGTGTTTTAGGCACAGACTAACTCTATAGCTATAATTCCGGCATACTATTAATTTGTGCCAGGGAAAATATGCACGTTGTACCTGAAAACAGTACCACCAGCTCGGATAGTCTAAGTGGCTTTGAACCTGCACAGGCGGTGGTAAAATAGTTGACGCATTGGATTCCGGGCCGAGGGGTCTGGGCTTAAGAACTAGCCGGGTTATTGTGTTCTTTTCTTTGTGCCTATCTCCATCCAGGAATAAAACAGGTAACAACGAACTGTCAGGGATGCCTCACAAAGTGAGGGGGACCGACAGAACAGAAACTGGGATAAGCTCCAGTCTGATTGGCTACATGACTCAAGTACAGACATTACCACTCTTTTTGAAAAAGCATTACAGATCAGAAAAACAGAGAGAAAAAGAAAAAAGTAACCTTGCGGGAACATATATCTTTATACACTGAATTTGTCATCAGGCATAATTTTAAACACATTCACGTCGAGGCCTCACTGGTCCTGCACAAGATTCTCCTAACATTTTCTACTCCGAAATAGTTGTTTTCACGGGAAGCCACATTTATCATTTGTGTTTGAACTTACCACAAAATAGCCAATATGTCATACCTAATGAATTTTATATCATGGTCATAAATTATGGATTGTCTACATATGTTGTCAAGTTGAATTTCTAACGAGTTATCAACTGAAGGGTCGCTCTAACATTTCCAATTGTACTCGAGTTAAAATCAGGGAGGCAGCTTTCAAATCTTCCCACTTGTCGCAGGTTCGGTCAATCTTGCTGCATTTTTCATCCGCAAGTTTTTAGCTCTTTGTTTCGTGTTTGTTTACCAAAAAAAGTATACGTTTTCGTGAGCCAAAACTTGGCTGGATTCCATGACACCGGTCAAGAGGCATTAAAATCAGGGAGGCAGCTTTCAAATCTTCCCACTTGTAGCAAGTTCGGTCAATCTTGCTGCATTTTTCATCCGTAAGTCTTTAGCTCTTTGTTTCGTGACTGGCTGGATTCCATGACACCGGTCAAGAGGCATTAAGTTTCTTAATTTTTCACTTTTAAGTAAAAACTAACTATAAATTGATGGATCTCCACTCCAAAAGCCAATTAAAATTGATATTATGGGTGAAGTTCACTTTGTGATTGACAGCTGTTTTCTCGATAGCTAATCAAATACTTTGGACCTTTCCAACCATTAAGGTTGTTTCAAAATGTGAAAATTTCGATGTGTGCTAACTCCTTCAAAGCTCACAATTTTATTTTATGGAAAAAAAGCCACCTTTTTTTAAAAAGAGAGAAAATAAGCCCTCAAAAGCAATTAAAGGACTTAAACTTAGATGAAAAACAGCTTTTAATTATAAATAATGTTTATTTTTAATTTTAAATCGTCGTCCAATAAGGAGGGGCCCTATTTGTACAGGGAAACAAATTAAGACGAATCAAGGGGGGCTGATTTAAATGCAGATTATGTTTCTCAAGTGAAGAAGTTCCGCTTGGATAAAAAGAGCGATAATACAGAAATAAAGTAGAATGACTGTTTTATGGCTGCTCCAGTTTTCCATTGTGACTCTTCAAATCGTCCTCGGAATCCTGTTTGCCCTGGCAAAAGGAGACTTTTGTGGAAGCGTTTTCGAAACTCAACTGGGTGAGTTAAAACTCAAACTGAACGATTAGGACCTTCTTGATTCTTAAGCTTTGTTTTACATATATTCAGGTGAAAAAGCATCAGTCCATTTGTTTCGCCTTTCAGGCCATGCATTAGCAGGTCATGTTGTGTATACGACTGTTGTTGTGGACGAGTTTGAATGTCAGTTAAAATGTATGGGAAACAACCGTTGCAAGTCGATCAATGTTCACCCCGGTGACAGTACTGGACAACGTATCTGTGAGTTGAATAATAAAACGCGGCAGATGAAGCCAGAGGATTTTACACAAAGGAAAGGATCTACATACTATAGCTCTGCTCAGGTTGGTACTAAGTTTTATGGTTACCGTATTTATTTGCCAAAATGCCGAAGATCTTCGGTAAATTAATAGTTTTGAGCGTGATTGGAATGACAATTCTAGCCTCCTGAGTGCAAAAAAACATAGCTCTTTATTTCACACAACCATTGAATTTGGCTGTTGAGGGCGAAACAAAAATGGGTAGCTTCATTTCTTCTTGCGGTTTTGAGCATAAAACCTTCTCGATTATTTTTTAGGTTGCAAACCAGCGAAATTCAGAACTTTATTGTTTTTTTTCATTCTCCTTATCTATCTGAGAGCTGAGAATTACAAGAGAGTATTTGCTTAATTTGTACAGACCTAACGTAGAACATAAGTTCAACATATGTGTTATATACCTATAACCGCTATGTTTCTGCGAAGATAACTTGTTGAAGCACGAGTTGATGATGTCACCTGTTTATAATAACTTTGGAGCCTGATTTAAATTATTACGTATGGTTCATCTCTTAGTCTTAAGTTGACAACGTTTTTGGTATGTTCTCGGCATCTGTATTAACGTCCTTACTAGTTCTTTAGTTTGAAAAAAACATTTTATTTTGAACGGCTATTCTTCATCAAAAATACTTTCACGTTTAGAACGTGACCAGAGCTAAATGGATGTAATCCACTTTGTACTGTATAAAGAGAACACAATTGAAAAAATTCTCCAAGAATGAGATGGATAAGCAAATTTTCTTTTTGTCTCGATGCAATGTCAATAAAGCAACGGGAAACAAATCAACTTTCCTTATTTTTGTATTAATTGTGTCAGGCTTCCTGCATGGATATTTCTCGTGAGCAAAGGCGATCCACTAAGAGTGCTCAGTGTCATCCGGGATACCAAGGAACACGGTGCCAAATGCGTAAGTGGTCAGAAGATTTTGCCTGTTACGTATTCACACCTTTTTAGACAAATTAAACTGCATAATCATTACTGGTTGCCTCCTTTTGACAGCTCGAGGCGTAGGATAATGTTACTGACTTTGTTATAAATGAGTCATGAAGTTAGCGGAACTTGTCGAGAACAAACTTAAACAAAACATAAAGTGGCGAGAGAACACATGCAGAATCTCACAAACAGAGGCGTGTGTGAAGCATAAAACTGTTGTGTTGCGGTCCGGCCGGCTGGATGTTTAATTAAAGTATAACACATTTACGACTCCAAAAGTATCCAAAATTAACTCTGTCACCAAAATATTTCACCTTTAAGCAAAACATTTTTTTCTCAGACATACCCTTATATCCACCTAGATATAGAAATAAATATTATGAATAATACTGGGCGATAAAGTAACATTACAAACATTACTTCTACTCACTGTATGTTGTGGCAGAGTGAAACCAAGACTCCTGTTCTTTATAATAAGTTCATTTATATTTATGGTTGAAAAAAAGGAAAATTAGCTTTCATTTTTGTTTCATGATTTTAATAATAAGCTCCCGTGGTGAGAGTATTCATCCGCAGTGAAGGTTGCGAGGATCTGGGAATTACAGCAAACACTTGTGGTATTGCTTACATCAAAGTGAATGGAAAAGATTATTCTCCACACATCAGAGGCCATAACGTGGTTGTTATCAACGCTATGACAGGTATTATAATCAAGATCGGAGATAAAGCGCGCTGTCATTTGTTGAAAGAGCGCTCTATCAGGGTACAAAAGACAGAGTTGAGTCACGCCATCCACTAATTTGTACCATGTTCCACCATTTCCCGTACTTTTCTCTTGCTTTTTTTCGGTAATTGAAGTGGAATTTCGGAACAAAAGAGCCGGCAAGTAGCAACAGAAGAGCCAAGCAAAGGTTTGTAAACATGCCAGGCGCTGCAATTGACGATATTTTAACTTGAGCAGAGACAAATCCTCAAAGAGAAAACGAAATCGGGACAGCCTGAGTTTTGAAGGTTTTCACGCTCAGTTAGATTATACGTAAGCTTAGTTACGTGCGGTGATAAAAACCAAACACAGCTAACACTCGTATATGATATATAGTTCCGTGTTTAAAAACGATACATAAAAAAAAACATGAATGATGAAAAATTAGCCAAATCGGCATAACTGTTACAATTCATACAAATCATGACGGTCTCAGAGCGATTCCGATCATGCTGAGGTCCATCGCAGCTAGCTTATCATGGCGATCTCCGATCATCGCAGTAAAGCAAGCCTCAGAAATTACATCAGCCCCTCTTCGAGTGAACAACTAAGAGCTTGCTCTGATATCCTTTCCGATGCATTGAGTGGATGGCCACATCAGTCACAGCAGCTGAGTTTAACGGCGCTGTCATCTCGAGTAATCTTCATGTTCCTGCGAATCAGTCGGCTGTCATTCATACATAAAACACACGCCTTGAGCAGTTTGTTTTCTAATTGTCATGACAAAAAACTTGCGGGTTTTTATGAGCCACAATTCGGCCGAATTTCACTGAATATTTCACTTTCAGATTCCGTATTAAAACTGGAAACCTTTGGCGAAAGTGTTAAATTCGACCTGCCGAAATATTTCAGGTTATGAACTATTGCAGATTGTGAACTGAGATGGTTTGACACTTTTGACGGCTTTAGTCTTGTTCAACCAATCAAATTATTTAAACCATTCGAACAAGGATTCTGATTGGCTTATTGTAGCATGCTTATGAGAGTATAGAGCATGCTGACGACATTGATGTTTGCTTTGAAATCAAGGTTTGTTTTGAAAATTGAAAGTAATGTGTGGGAAGTTTAAAGGATTCTTTTTTAATAAAACAAACAGCGAAGCCTTGACTGTGCTCTATTCTGTTGTAAAGCACTTAGGAAGCAGCTGGAGCACTCCAAAATCATCATGAAGGGTTACTTATCTGGGGCGAAATAAAAGCAGGTAGTAAAACCTTACTTCTGACGACTTTCCCGAGAAAGGCAAACCGGTGTGGGCTTTTGTTTTCCGCGCATACGCCAGAAGGTAACACCGCTGTCTCCCTATCGACTCCATGGTCTTAATTTAATAGAACGATGTGCTCAGTTTAAAATCTGCGGGGTTAGCTCCAGCTCGAATAATCATAATCTCTTTAAGCTACCAGTCATCTGGAAGATGTACGTCTTCATTATAAGCTTGATTGTAGTGGAAGGGAAACGTTTGTTACCATTCTTCATTTGCAGGTACTGTACTAGGAGCCAAAGGATTTGACACTCATGAGAATAGTTCCGCTGGTATTCACCTGAGAGATTACCTTAACGGAATCAAAGGAGAGTATGTGCCATATTGACGTGCTTTTATATATGTTCATAGAACAAAACAAAACGAAAGCTGATATAAAACAAATGTAAAGGAAGGGAATGATCATCCAACCCTCTAAGGAGGAACTGGTCTTTTACGCTGTAATCTCACTACCATAAAATGTAGCATATGATAGTTCAGAGCACAAACATCATGGATCCCACATCATTTTAAGTACATCTGCCCCAGCTTCTTATATATATATATATATATATCATAATCTCTTAAAAGATACATATTTTTCTCTTTCTAACGACCGTTCGGGATTGTGTCCAATGTCAAACGCATGAAAATTTGTCGCAATAACTCCTATCCGAAACTGAATCAGAAATATACTCACAAAACGAGATTCGGTTAATTCCGTGGGAAACTTATTTCAAAATATTAGCACATTAATGCCTCGTAGAGGTTTTCGTTATTGCCCTTTTTTCGTAATTTGTAATAAAATGCATTTGTTTGCCATTCTCACGGAAAATTAATGTTTGTTCCAATTGCAGAAAAATCGTTCTGGTCGCCATTCAAAATCAAGGCTCAACATACATATCACAAGCGATTGACGCTCTAAAAAGAGTTGGCGCCACCGATGACCTACTCAATCTGACAGAGTTTAGAGGATCTTTTGCTTTGGTGGGATTCGCCGGTGTGAATAGACCATCTTGGATTGCACAACAAAATGCCAAGCGAGAAAGGGGACCCAGTGAGATATCTCTGACAATCCCATCATCAGAAGGTATATCTTCGTTCTATTGATACCTTATAGAGGAATTTCAGCTTTTAAATAAGTGAACGGGTCCATCATAACGAGCCAGCCACGCATTGACTAAGCATTTTCAGGTTCTCGTGTACTCATATCGGTGTGTGTTGATTAACAAGACAACACCACATTTTCTCCTGTAGCTATCAAAGGCATATATTACAATCAGCCTGGCCATTCCTGCAAGGACATCCGGGACTCCGGATATTCCGTTGGAGATGGGGAGTACTGGATCGACCCTGAGAAGAACGGAAACCCTTTAAAGGTCTACTGTGACATGACAACTGACGGAGGTGAGATGCAAATGCTCGATCATGTTAAAAAAAGTAAAGGAACTGCATTGGATTTGAGTTTCTGAAATTCTACTTCATGATGTTTGAAACATTTAGTTCATGTTGGTTGATGTTGGCTTCGTTTTGCACAGGAGGCTGGCTTCTTGTTTCCAACGTTGTGGTAGACGACCCGTCCTCGCGACAGCTTTGGATTGCGTCATCATACCGTGAAATCAGCAACTGCCACTGGAACAAAACGTTGTTCATCACAGAAAATGCCATGAAAGAACTGAGAACACACTTGTCTTTCACTCAGATGAGATTCCACTGCAACAAACAAAAAGGACGAATGATCCACGTGACTACAGCTGCAAACAGCTCTGGTGAAGCTGTAGTCCAGTACTTCAGCGGTCAGACGGATAGGCGACCTTTAGCGTGTGGCTCGTTTAATAGAATGAAAGATGATAACTCCAATATAACTGGAGTCTGTCACCAATGGCACGGCCAGCAGTGGGGTCACCCACCGTCGGCAAAAGGGACATTGACCAATCACGCCTTTTTTGTCCCTTACAAATATCACTGGTCGTTGGTTCCTGGAAATCAAAGATGGGAGTGTGACGACTACATTTCTGAAAGATTTTTTGCGTTGTCCTCTGGCGATTTCTGGAAAGTCTTTGTTCGTTAAGGCCTGGAAACACCTACATGCGCTTCCACTTTTCCTGTAAAAATTTTCTCTGCAAAGTAAGACGTCATGATCATCGGATAACTGTAACAAGCCTTCAAACTTTTTTTATTTGTTTTTTATCATTCGAACAATTTGCGAGGTTTTCGTTCTCATATTTCGTATGTTAGTTTGTGGCCTGAATGTCATGGAGGAGTCGGTATTTCACTTCTTAAATACCATAGTAGTGACTAACTTATAATTTCTCCATACAGTATCACCCTTGAATTAAATAGAGTTCATAGGAATAAAGGAAATGATCACCAGCCTAGGAAGTCCATAACTGTCAAACAAATTCTCCTCGGCAGCACCATAGGAAATGTATAGAGAACAGAATGGTGAACATCCATACTGATGTTAGGGTGTTAAGAGTTAAAACCTTTTCATCTTTCAAAGTAAACCCGACCCAAAGATTTGTTCATCTATCTGTTTTTTTTCCTTTACTTTTTTTCGGGAAGTCATTATTTTATTGCCGCGAAGGAGGAGGGGGGAAGGAGAGGGCGGGCGGGCGGGGCTGTTCAGAGGATTTTGGGGGGATCGCGTGGTTCTGGGCCAGACTGTAGACAATCGACTGCCAATGATGGGGGAGGGAGAAATCATTCAAATACTACGGAGCCTTGAGGGATTAGGTGGTTTGTGTTGTAAAATCCTCCGACCGACCTCTACCCCACCCCCCTCCCCTTTCTGGAGATAAAGAAATGACTGGTCCCTTAGTACGGACAAGTGAGTCTTTACACCACTTGGAGGTACCTTTGCTTTGACGTCGAGTTAAGCCTCCTTAAAATCTCCTTGTACAATCATTCAGGGAGGACTTACAGACTATTTCAATTTATTTCTCGGTTTTAGTTTGCGGTTGGTTTGCTAGTTTGAGTTTGTTTTTACAACCGTTGCTTTTAGAAAAAAGTTGTTTAAGGTAATTTCATAACAATAGTTCACTTAGAAATGCAAATTTCATTGGGAAAACTTGGAATGGAAATGCTGCGACAAATTTGTTAGAAGATGTGGTAGCAATGTTAAAAAAACACATTACAGCAGGGTTGACGTGGCCATTTCACACAAGAAATTTAAAAACAATGAATTTCAGAACATTTTGATATTTAAAAAGCTCAAGGTAAAACTGTTTCTAAAGTGATTTTAAATCAATTTATTTGTAAATACTTGACATGTAAATGATTATGCACACAGCCTTTTCATTCCCGTTCCGTACCCAAACTTCATTAGTATGGATACGGAACGAATTAACTAACTGAGTACGAATGGTCCTTGCTGGGTACGAAAGACTGGTATCCGCCCGAGGTTGTCGGTCAACTGGCCTTGCACGCGATGTCGGCAAGCTGGACCAAGTTGTCAGCGAGCGGGCCTAAGTAATCGGCAAACTGGCCTAGGTTGTCGGCACTAGCCTAAATCGTCGGCAAACTGGCCTAGGACACAGACACAAAACACAACATCGACGTATATTTCAATAAGTCGATAGAGTTTAAGCATATTACATAAGCATACTACATAATACTGTACTCATAATATTCTTTGCAGTGCTTATATTGCATTTTGGTATTTACATAATCTCATTGTAATGGTTTCTGAAAAAACCATCAGTGTACGAAACCAATAAAGTTATTATTATTATTATTTTTATTATTATCATTATTATTATTATTATTATTATTATTATTATTATTACTATTATCAGTATTATAGATCGAAAGTCTATCTGATTTGATTAACCACATACAGCTGACTCGAGGTGACTAAGAAGGAAGGATTTAAGTCAGTGCTGACTTTGATTGGTAAAAGTAAGTTTCAGTTTTGTGTCCGAGACTTAATCAGCGAAAATATTCCATTTAAACATGTTAAAGCTCACAATAAAAATTGAACACCTTAGGTTTCACTTGATCAACCACATTGTCTTCAATTTTTGTTGCCTACTTTATCCCAGTGAGTCGCCTGCGGGGATGCGCTTTGAGTGCGCTCCGAAGCGTCTGGCGACCGAGCAGTAAAAGCGAGTGACAAAGCCGAGGACGATTGTGACGGGAAGTAAGACGCGCACTAAAACTGCTGGCTGTCTGCTGCGCCGTGGGTGGGGAATATACGACCACTGCAGCACAAGATGTACAGAGACCGTGTTTGACGAGGGTGCAGCCAAACGATTGGTTGTATGTCATATCTTTAATAAAACAGTATATTATTTAAACTTATGACTTTTCAATTAATACCTCGCTCAAGGTAAGTGTGATTTTTTTTCCCCTTTGTTATTAAGGATTATAAGAAATCGACCTTACTTTAAACATGCTAAACATGGAAAACAAACTTCGTTAGTATGGGTATGGAACGACTTAACTGTGTACGAATGGTCTTAGCTGAGTACGAAACGACTGGTATCCGCCCGAGGTTGTCGGTGAATTTCTTTGGGTTGCTGGCGAACTGGCCCTAGCATGGGATGTCGGCAAGCTGGCCCAAGTTGTCAGCAAGCGGGCCTAAGTAATCGGCAAACTGGCCTAGATTGTCGGCACACTGGCCTAGCTTGTCGGCAAACTGACCAAGGTTGTCGGCAAACTGGCCTAGCTTGTCAGCAAACTGGCTAAGGTTGTCGGCAAACAGTCCTAAGTTTTCGGCAAACATCCCTAAGTTGTCGGCGAACTGGCCTAATTTGACGCCGAACAGGCCTAAGTAATCGGCGAGCGGGCCTTAGTAGTCGGCAAACTGGGCATGAACACTACTGAACTAGTAGTTGAAATCAGGCCTGAAAAATAATTAGGTCCTAAGTTGTCGGCAAACTGGCTAAGGTTGTCGGCAAACTGGCCTAGATTGTCGGCGAGCGGGCCTAAGTTAAACGTCAACTGCCCTGAATTGTTTGTGAACTGGCTTGGGTTGTTGGTGAACTGGCTTGGATTGTTAGTGAACTGGCTTGGATTGTTGGTGGTTAAGGTTGTCGGCAAACTGGCCTAGGTTGTTAAACGTCAACTGACCTGGATTGTCAGTGACCTGGCTTGGGTTGTTGGTGAACTGGCTTGGGTTGTTAGTGAACTGGCTTGGATTGTTTGTGAACTGGCTTGGATTGTTAGTGAACTGGCTTGGATTGTTGGTGAACTGGCTTGGATTGTTGGTGAACTGGCTTGGATTGTTGGTGAACTGGCTTGGATTGTTAGTGAACTGGCTTGAGTTGTTAGTGAACTGGCTTGGATTGTTAGTGAACTGGCTTAGGTTGTGGGCAACTGGCCAAGGTTGTCTGCAAACAGGCTTAAGTGTAAGCAAACTTGCCTGGGTTGTGTGCAAACTGGCTTAGGTTGTCGGCAAACTTGCCTAAGTTGTCAGCAAACTGGCTTATAATTGGGAAGAAATGGTCAAGAAATGGTCTATTGTTCCAGCTCAACTTCTCACATTAAGTATTAAACATTAGTCCCTTTGTTATTCGTAGCGCTGAGGGACTTTGGCCGAAGCGACGCGAAAGAGTTCATGACTAATCGGAAAAATTATCGGTGTATTTAAACCTCTCTCTGCGTACTTTTTTCTTTATCAGACAGTTTGTTATCATGCTCGTGATAAACAGATCGGACTTCCGCTGCGCGGTCGTCCGATTTTGTTATCACTCGTATAATTACAGACCGAATTGGACTCCACTTAGTCCTGTTACCATTACCTATTATGCAAACAAAGAATTAAGTCTAACTTGCGTAGCGCGCGAGATTTGAACTGCTCTCATACTGTGAAAGATAAATCTGGGCGCGGCGAAGTCGTGATTCGATAGTCCGTCGAGCGAGAAAGTGAAAGTTTCCCCCTCCAATTTTCTCCCCTCAAATGTTCTTTTTGCTGTCCTTCCTTCAGCCCTTCTGAGCGTTTAAATTTCCCGCTCGTATGCTAATAGGAAACTTCGAAATCCCTCATGTGTTCTGAAGCTGTTGCGCCATTGTTCAAAAATAGCCTTCTAGGGTTATTATAACAAAGCCTATTGTTATCAATGTTGAGCGAGTTTCCTTGATACGTTAAAGGCCGACACGCTTGGATTGTTGGTGAACTGGCCTTGGTTGACAGCCCACTGACTGAGATTGTAGCTGACCTTGCCCAAGTTGCCAGGGGACTTATCGGGGTCGTTGGCGATCTAACATTAGTTGTAAGCGAACTCATCTAAAGCTAAAAAACCAATTTCAACGGGGCTTATCCCTTCGTGACAATTCTTTCTACTGCTTTACAAAACTTTCTTCTCTTGGCATATTCATCAGAAGCTGGGACCAGAATCATAAAATAAATTCTTTTGCTACTTTACTGATAGCTTATTGATACTGATTTTTTATCTTTACACAGTTTTTTTTGGTGATAAAATAAATAGTAGTTTAGTGTGGTTCCTCGTTGACTCTATACGATATTTTTCTTTGTTCAGTTTGGTTGTTGTAATTACTTTGGTGTTGTTATTACGACACTTCATCGCAATGCGCTCTATTTCCATATTGCAAAAAATGGATTGTATCTGATTGAATGAACAATTAATGGTTTTTCTGATGGTCTAAATTCACTAATGATCGTAATCTCCGGCACAGCCGTTCTTTGGGATGAGGAGAGCCTTGAAAGACGTCCTGAAGAATGACTACGAAGGAGACTGTAACAATTGCTGTTCGCGACGTTTTGACTGCCACGAAGCCAGTCGATAAAACCATTCCTTTCGATAACCAAAGTCAAAATAGTAAGACAAACAATTGGACGATCCCGTACCTATATCACTCTAAAGAGAACTAAGAACATCTCAGTCTCCTGCAAGTAAAACATCTTACAAGACAAGCGAAATGCGACTGGACTGAGTTCTAAGCAGATTCCTCACTTTGTAGTTCAACGGAAAAGCTTAAGGCCTTCCATTTTCCAATCACTGCCGGTCTAGGCATGACACAAATACTTCCTTCCTTGAACAGTTACACTTGAATTGCTTCTAAGGTCTAAAATGCCTAGTTTGCAGTTGGTATCAGTCAGAGCATGACATAAGTAATTTATTCCTTTATCGTCAGCACGATTATGTCTGGCGTTTAGGCCAGACAACTTGAATGCACTGCTGGTGAATGCTGTACACAAGTGCTCAGCTTTATTCCATCGTTTCCTCTGTTATTCCAACTGACGTCTAACAACGTTAATTGCAATTAACCGAGGTTATTGCTTCAGACAAGAGTTTCATCCCTTCATTTCCAAGAGAACTGACACAAATCCAGCCTGGTTAACTCGCAGTTACCGCTAGTTAGGGCTTCACAAACGTGCGTGATTGCCACTGACATTAGGTCTGGTTAATTTCTTGCAATTTCTATACGTTATTGTCTTGGACAAGAGCTTGATTCCTTGTTTCGATAAACTACTGAAAGAGAGGGTCAAGCTGTTTAGATCACTGCGACTGAGAGCTATGGAGAGCTTTGGTTTATAGATTTAATGAATGTAACCGAAGAAGTTACAATTCATAGACCAAACGTTTCGACACTAATGTCTAGTGCCTTCATCAGGGGTGATCTAGAGGTCCTTTCATACGATCACTAATTAGCTGCCTTTTTTCTGACGTGGTGTAAATGGGCGTCAGGAAGTAAGCCACCATTATCACGATTTAAAGAAGCGTGAGCGGAGTAAATATGCTAAGCTTCCAAACGGACAGACCAAACGTCAATTTGGTACACGTTTGAAAGAGCATCAAAAAGCGGTTTTCTTTGGCAAAAAAGAAAATTCAGCTTTATTGGAGCACATATACCTAACTAACCATACAATTGGGTGGGAGAAGTCTAAAATTATCACCACTAATCGGCGTTACCATCAGCGCCTTGGTTTGGAAGCTTGGCATATAAACACCTTGATACAAGGGACTGTCGAATAGTACAAATATAAGAAATATTAAACTTTTACTTTTAAGACTAGAGCTTTGAGTTTGAGACGAAAAAAGATCCATTAGATAAAATTCATGACAAACTTGGGCTTCAACGTTTACGTGAAACTAAATTTGATTTGAGAAAAATCCCAAAACTTTGATGATTTTCCCAAATCAAATTCAATAAATTGAACTAAGAAAAATTTTCTTTTTTTAACATTCAAACATTACTCTTTAGAAACTTACCACCTTCTTTCTCATCGTTGAGATCAGTGGTGGAAAATACCATAGAGGTTAGGTACCTAAGAGGAAAAGCACACAGACACATTAGTTGTAATCACCTTATTGTGAAAAAAAAAACACCTTTCCAAAACGTTACTGACATGTACGCTTAACAACCTTCCACTTTCACACGCCTCACGGATCATCTCACAAAAAATGACTGGCAATAAAGCCTAACAAAATAAATCACCGTCTTGTGAATGCAGAGAGTCTCGTTTGTCCAGTACATCATCCATGAAAACAGGTGCATGTAATGAAATTACTGCTGTTTAATCCGTTAATGATATTGGCAAATCAAGACTCCCTTCAAGAAGAATAAAATGAGGAAAAAAATTGTGTAGAACACTCTGTGATGTTGTTTTCTCCAACAAATTACTGGAAAAAATCGTTGAATACAGCTGCACTGAAAAGCTGAATCAACACTCCTTTATGAGGGATAGTGGGACAAAAAAAAACTACACTGGAATTCCTCAGCAAAAAAAACACCTGACATAAGATCTGAAAGCACTTTCAGTTTTAAGTTTACCTTCTTCCCAAAGAAGTAAAATCTGATATTCTCCATATACTCTTTCTTCTTGTTGTTTCATTGATTTAAAAAGTTCTTGTTTTCTTTTAGAACCTGAGGTGGACAATGCAGCAGGGTACAGAGTATCTTAGGGCAAAAATGCACATAGAAAATTTAGTATTTAGTGCCCTAATTCAATAAGGCTTTTTAAAAGTAGTATCAACAAGTTGTATCATCAAGATCATTAAAATATTAGTGAACTGCCACAGTTTATTCTTGATACCTGGTAGAAATACAATAACTTTTCAAAGCAACTTTTCACTAAAAGTAAACAGTTTCCAAGTAAACCAAAAAAAATTTTTTTTTTGGTTTGCTTTCTCAATGATCAAGTTCTTTAAAGTTTTGGTGTTCACCTTTAGATTTCTCTGGCTGCACAGTCTCTATCTCCTGCTCCCATCTCTTAAGCTCTTCTTGTTTCTGCCAACCTCCAGTGGTGGACCTTATCAAGTGGGGCTGAGAGACTGCAGCTTCCTCTCCAGGATTAGTGGTGGAAAATAAAGAGGAAGGAACAGCTACAAACAGATATATTAAGCATCATGCCTTGTTATAAATTTGACATTAACAACAGGGATGCTACCATGACACCTTTGACATCTATGTATTTATTGTGTCTGGAGGGCTCATCTCCCAGACAGGGACAGCAATCATTAGCTCCATCAAAAATGAATATTTTTTTTCATACTTTGAATCAAATAAATATCATAGCACTAGGATGATTCTTCAAATGTTCATTGCATAAGTAGTTATTACTGCAACATGTAGTTTTATCTAAACTGGAGCCTTCAGTACATGATCTCTCTCTGCAAACCTGGTGGTGTTGTATGTTGGAGAGGAAACACTTTTTGCAAAAAATAAATGAAAGGACCAGGTTACTCTCTTATTACTAACCTCTGGGTGCATCCTTTTTAAAAAGTGCTCTGCATGCATTGTACTCTTCCTCATCCATTGTTGTTTTCAGCTTCAGCTCAGTTAGGTTCAGTTCCTTCAAGATCTTCTCAGTGACAAAACAATCCTGAACCATCTTGTCCAAACGGTTGCATAGGTAATCTTCCCACAATTTCTCCAAGCTCTGAGGAGAATCACACTCCACTCTTATCACCAAGCTTCCCATAGAAGCACCTGTGATGACAAACCCCATTTCTTTCAAGTATTCTTTAAATTCATTACGCTCATCTCTTGACTGTGGTGGTGTAGTCTGAAGGTAGTTTATAGCAATTAAACACAAGGCTTTCTCTTTAAGCGCTGGGAGATCATCTATTTCTGTATCAGATCTTCTTTTCCTACATGTGCCTGACTCTGTGGTTGCCCTCTGATGTAAAGCAGGCTCTGAAACTGTGCTGTGCATGTCTGGATCTGAAGTTTTCAGGTTTTTCACATCAACATTGATATTTAATTTTGCATCTGTTGATTTGGAACAAAAAGTTTAAGTTAAAGTTGTACTTCAAATTCACTTGTAACACACATTCAGCGCAAAGGATAGTTGATATTCAATATTGACCAAGGGTGAGGTCAAGATATCTGGACCCTCTTGGTCCATAAAAATGCAAAAAGAAGATGAGGTTAATAACCAGCCATCTTGACCAAACAAGCTTGGTCAATAAAAGACTTATCATACAGCAAAAAGATTGCACTTTGAGAAGAATATCAGAATCAAGAAGGACTGATTTATTTTTGAGTGCTAGGAAAGAAAGCCAATTGTGAAGGTACCTGATAGTTTTTCATCTGACAAATCAAAAATAAGGTAATTTGACAGTTTTACAATTACCAATATTAAACATTCTAATTTTCATAAAAATAACAAATGGTGGAAGTTTGTTACCCCAAATTTTTTATTTGCATGGGATCAAAGCTGACAATCCCTTCTTGCTTGCTTGTGTAGTCAATCAGAACACAAGATTCACCTTATCTTGCCAACGGGCACTGCCAGCTTTACAATAAGATAAGGTTTAACTTCAAACATATCAGCTGGCTGCGAATGGACAATCATAGATGTAATTTTTCAGGGTCAACAATTTTGTTTCCTAACAAATGAAGTTCAAAATAGTTTTAAAAGTGAAAAAAAAAAAACATTCTCAATGCAGGTAACATTTTGATTAAAATCATTAGCGAAATTTGATTCCAGTAACAACCAGACTTCCTTGTACTATCATCTACATGCATACACTTGTCCTCAACTTTGGCTCAAAGAACAGATTGCAGATGCTAGATCTTAACACCTTCTTGTGCACTACATAAAATGAAAAGCACAGTATTTACATCACATGAGCAAATTAAAGTAAAACCAAACAACATACAATACCATTTGAAGTTTTGACTATGTTCTTGATCATTTCTTTAAATCTATCACATTCTCCACTCCAAGAGTAAACCTTGCTGTAGTTCTCTCGAAGCTTCATTGCATTGGTTAGTCGCTCTTCTGGACTTTGATTAGACAACTCTTGAATCCTTTGCGCCCATTGAGCTGCATCATCATCTGATTCAATAACTACAGACTGTCCACCCTCTACTTTATGCAAAACCTCAGCTACTCCCGATTCGCCAGACATAAGAACAGGAACACCAGCAGAAATGGCCTCCAGGGCCACCAACCCAAAGCCCTCAGTACGGGAAGGCAAGGAAACCAAATCTGACTGATAGAACATCATCTTAAGTTCCTCTTGTTGGCTGCAGTAACTACGAATGGTTAGTTGGTTGCGCTTTATGCTGGTTTTTTCAAGAAACCACTGTTCCACTTTTTGGTGCTCACCAGGAGATGAACCTACAAAAGTCAGTTTGAACTTCCTACCAAGAGAACCAATGGCATTTGCAATTATATCGTAGCCTTTCAGGGAAAGATCCTCAAAGGTTGCTCGGCCAAACATAAACACATTGAAGTTCTTGACTACTGTTCTGTCTACAGCCAACTGTGATTTATTTGAAAACTTTTCAAAGATCCCAGGAGTAATAAGCTCCACTTTAACATTAACAAGACTTCTACTGTACAACTGTTGCAGACGTGAGCCAACAGCTACAACTGCATCCGCTGCTTTACACAACTCAATTTCCATCTTGTGCTTCCTCTCGTTCTCTTCGATTGTATCTTCTGCAGCCGTGGAAGATTCTTTATATTTCCCAAGGTTCTCACAGTAGACGTGTACAAATTGGATCCATTTACACTTTGTATTCTGAACAAGAGAATACGCTGGAATACCTAGCTTTCTTCCATGGCCTATCACCAGATGTGGGTTTGGGAGCTCTGAGGGTGAAAACTTCAAGCACTCGAGGGGATCGGCTGAACCAGGAACATTTCGAGCTGTGATTAAATTAACACCATGTTGTTTAGCTTCTTCTCTGTCCCGATCATCGCTATTAGAAACATAGCAGTGGATTTTCATGCTACCAGTCGTCGCTTGTGCCAAATTAATAGCAAATTCTCGGTTGAAAGTTGATAATCCACCTTTCGAAGATTTCCATTCGTCACAGAGAAACATGACATCAATTAGCTTTTGTTCTTTCTGCTCCTCTTCGCTACTTGTCGCAGTCCCAACTTCAGAGTGCGCCATTGTGTGTTTTTTCATCCGTGCTGTTAATGATCAATTTGTTTTATTCTGCTACTACAATAGCCATGAGGAAGCACTCTTGAAGCTATACCGCTGACAAGGAGCTAAACTGATAGTAAATGACTGTGAGTAACCTCGCACGTTCTCATATGATGGCGCTTTGCCCAAAAATTAGGTACCCTAGCAGCTCCCTTATGCCTCTGAACTCTTTAAGGTTTAATTTTCCACAAATATAATTTAAGTTCGTTTCTCATGGGATGAAAAGTTTAAAAGCGACCGATGTGGATAATTTAGATAGATGGAGCTAAGGTTCGATCGTGATCTGAGAACGAGTTGAGAGGTTCCTTAGCTGTGGGCACCTAAACGTGTGGAAGACTGGGTCGATAGAATCAAACATGGCGGCAGACTAGACGCACAAGTTAAGAATTTTTTTAAGGTTTCAGGCAAATTTGAGGTTTTCTGCACACTAGAAATCATCGTCGAATGGATCTGTGAGATTCCTCTGGCATTATATTAGCGACAGCCAGTAGTAGAGGACAGAGTCTATTATTTCATTATCCATATTTACCGCCTTCCCGGACTGAAGGGAGAGAAAAAGGTGAGGTGCACAGTATAGAATGGCCATGTTGCAGACGCATCACAGCAGGCCTGGAGGAAATCTAGCGTGTATAGAGCCATTTCAATTTTTCGTGGAAAGAGCATGTGCACTTGTCTCATTCTCCAGCTTCAGACTGGTTCACTATTGTAAGTTCTTAAAATTCTTGCACTGTGCGTGCGAAACTTAACTTCAGTGCATCAGTTGCCTTGCAGAAATCCCCAAGAATCGTTTCGCCTTGGGTAAAGTTGTCTCTTCTATTTGCTTATTATTATATGGGGGATTGAACACAGGGTTCATATGGGTCCTGGAAAACCTGGAAAGTCCTGGAATTCTGCTTTGACATTTTCCAAGTCTGGAAAGTCCTGGAAAAAGACTACAGGTCCCAGAAAATCCTGGAAATCTGCTTAACTCAAGCAATAAAGTTTTCAGAATGTACATTAAAAGAAATGATTGTAAGACTCTAGGGAGAATTGATTTTGAAATTGTGGGAGTGAGAGGGTGTAAGGTGAAATTTGGAGTCCTGGAAAATCCATCTGAGTCTTAAAAAAGTCCTGAAAAAGTGCATAAAATTTCTTTCTAAAAAGGGTATGAACCCTGTGAAAACCATGCAGAAGGGTGGATAAGATTTAAATATCATGCTCTTAATTTTTTGTTTTCTTCATAATGGTAAATTTTCAAAGTCCTTTTAATTTTAAGCCTATGAAATTGGCATGGGTATGCAAATCCCCAATAAGTAGCTTATGTTAAATTATCATTACCACATCTGACTGTGCTAAGATGGTTCTAAGGTTTGGTAAACTGCCAAAAAACTGCATAGGAATTTTGTATCTATTGGAATTCTATCATCGTATGCATTACCTACATTTCAGAAATTTTTCTGGAATCAAAGATGGTTATCACATTGGGTGAGTTCTATATGATTTAAAATAATATGAGATCATTGAGATAAAACTGATTTAGTTACCATTACAAGTACAGAAAGGGATACAGGTGTAATGGTCTAATTTTGCACACTTCGGTATTTTTCTTATGGCTAATTTAGAGGACATTTACCAGTTGAATAAATTTTCTGAAGTTTGCAAGTCAACTGTTTCACAGTATTGTGGATAACCTAGTCATCATCATTGTCACATTTACCCCCATTGTCCACTGAGCTTAACTTGAAAAGATGATAACCTCCTTATGTATTAAATGAAGAATGGAAATCCTGTCTTCTAATTACTCAAAGGCTCTTAACTCCCAACCAACATTTACATGATTAATGGCTAGTCCCTTTTATACAAAGTGTTCATGTTAGTTGTCGTGGTTATGAAATCATTTTTCATTTCCCAAGGAATCATTCTTGTACTTACTGCACTGGCCATGGTGTAATGTGTAATGTAAAGAAGCTGAACTTCATCTGATTTTAGAGTATAAATCCAAATTAATGGCAATAAAAGTCTACTTTATAACATGCTCCTGTGTGCCACTAGTTTCTTGCTTGAATTATCCTTGATGGAACGTGACCAGAGGTCAATGTATATAATGTACACTGACAAGATGACCAAAAAGAAACTTAAACCTCTCATTTTACTTCTATAATCTGCATATATGTTTCAGTTTTACTTTCTCCAAGGTAAAATGAGCTGTAAATTACTGCAAACTCACGAGTGCATGGATATAGGAGTGCCAAAACTAAATGAACTTTGGGATAGCTGTGTAGAATTTCTTTAAGTGTGACACAAATTAAGTTGTTACATCTCGGTACAACATGTTATTCCTTGAAGTTAGGAAAAAGTGATTCTTATAGTATTCTTTTTGACAAAATGAAGGTTCCAAATGCAATATCCTATCAAATCCACCTCTCCTCCCTTATTGATGGACAAGTACAAAGTCACAACAATCGGCACATATTACTGTTGGTGAACTTAAATTGCTCACATCTAACCTTGCAAATTTACACTGCAGCTGTTTCCCCCCTCCCTCGCCCACCTTGATTAAGGGTCTCCCTGTAATAAACATCCTCTGCTATATCCTGAATTGAAAATGATTTTCCTTGGACACCAATTGGAGGATTTACTGTTAATGGAAAAACCAGACCAAAAAAGGGGATTCAACTTGTAATAGTTGACTCTATTAAATTTCACTTTGAATTTGATCCTTTTTCTGTTATCAATAGATACATGTAGACTGAATTATTGTGCATGTTCTAAATGATCTATGAAAGGAAGCAATTATAGGAAAATGTCAAGTATCCAATTCTAGATGATCTTCACAGTAAAAAGTGTGTGATTTATTTCTTATTTTCTGCCTTCCATTAATTTGTGGTTCTGCATTATAAGGAATGCAAGTGTCCGAAGGAAAACATTGTACAGTTAAACAAAGTGCTATCTGAACAAATTGTGTATGATAAGATAGCTATGCTCAACACAAGACTGCAGACAGATTGACAGGTAAGAAACAAAGATCTTCCTGCAAGATATACTGTTCACCGACAAAAGAAGTCAAGGGACTGGTGTTGTTCTTTTCAATGCAATTTAATGTAGGTAATAATTATTCTAAAGAGAGTAAACAGTTCTGTACAAAATGCACAAATTTCAGTGTTATTTCAGAGTGTGGAGCACAACTGACTCGTTTGGATGGGGACATGATCAGAAACTTGTATATGTATGTATTTCTTTAATGTTTACTTTTCTCAGGGCTTGTTAAATGCGTAACAAGAGAAAGGAATTAATGCCTCAGCTGGTATCCAGTCAGTAAGGAATTGTTGACTTAGATTTATACATCTTATGAGCACATGCACTGTAGCCTTGACTGGGACAATGTATAAGGAGCTATCATGGTACAATTTGCCCATGGTAAGGTACTACATATAATTTGTCAGCAGCTGTTGAAAGTTACTTCGTAGTTTTCATACTGTTGACAATGCTGTTAAGCTTTTGCCTCAGATATCTTCATGGAAGTTTCTGAAAAATTTCATCACAGGCTCTCGAAGGTTGTGCCTTTTGAAACTATTTTTACATTTTCTACTCATGCTCCCAAAGTGTATTTTACACAAAGTAACATTATACAATTTTATGGGGCTTGAGAGAGACCTGTTGTGGTTGTTGGGGTAAACTGATTTCTCCATGGACTTGTCAAATTTTTTCTACTCATTTTTTAATGCTTAGAAGCCACTGACATTTTAATCCTGTTCTCAAGGATTAGCCAGGTTTCAGAATTTTCCATGCCTTGTTTTTTTAAAGCAATGGCTTTTCTTTTCACATAGCATTACACAATTTATATTTAGGGTGCAGAGATGAAGAGAAGGCATTTAATGGCAACCATAGGACAATTACAATCAGCATACCAAAAGCTACATATTAGGTATGTTTTGTTTGCACCTGCTATCAATGGTAGCAGATTTGTTCAGCTTCACTTTTGATATGAGGATAATGGTAGGATCATCTACACAAGTCTAATTGTGTAATTCTGCTCCTCTCCTTTGTTAGTATTGGGAAAACTTGTTTATGAAAACAGAGTCATTTTTACTTCCAAGTAGATTGTTTTGTGAAAGTGCAAGTTTGGCAGGCTTTGAAATTGATAAAAATTGTTTCCATGATCAACTTGTGCATTGAACTTAGTATTTAAAATAAAGTGAATTTTTAATGCACCAAAATTTAGGAAAAATTGTTTGTAAGTTTTCCCCTTTCATGCATAAAGAGTTTATTCCCGGATTAGGTGTCTCACAAAATAAAGAAATGGTGTTTTTTTAATAGCTTTTTACAGAGTTCAGGCAAGTGTTGCAAGCACACTGATCTTCTTGAATAAACTTCCCCGTAAACTGAACCCTATAATAAGGCTCATCGTGGACTCTATCAAGAAAGAAGAGCAAACCATTATGCAGGTCTGTGTGTACTTTCCCTTTATATGTTTACTTCATTTGTCGAGTAAAAGTTAATGCTATAAGTCATGGATCTCCCTGACGATTGTACACTCTGAAACCTAAATATGAACATGATAAAGCAAACTCAATGCATTGTGCAATATGATATTCAATGTAATCACTCAAACCACTGTGGAAATAAGTTGTTTTTACTTGCAGGTGTACTCCCTTTTTTTGCCTTTCTTATGCCTGTCTTGATTTAACAATTTAAACTATTAGGAAAAGTGATGCCTGTAGGAGCCCGCGGCTATGACTATTGTCCAATTCTTATTTGAAGTCTATTAGAAGTTGTTACCCTTTTTATCGGCCACGGAAAGTGAAACAGGTTCCACAGGAGAGTTACTGAAGGGTACCGGTAATTGAAAATACACATTGTTAAGGCACAGAAGTTATTTCAAAGAAATGTCTCGTTTGTTTCGTCCGAACAGATCAGTGCACTGGAAGTACTGTGTCCTTGACGAGGGCCATATTATAAAGAATGGAAAAAGGTAGGTTACGTTTTGGTTTTTTCCTGTAGAAAGCAAACGTTGAGGAGACCGATGATAATTCCCTGACAGAAAAAAAAACCGGTGGAGACGAAGATATTGTGTATTTGGTATTTTCCATGTGTTATCTCTCTCACAGGATTTAAACAGGTTCTCCTTTTTATCATTGAAGTTTCATTGATGCTTGTTGCTTGAGAATAAATTTCGAATCGTCCGAAATGGAACAGTAGCTATGTAGTCCAGTATTCAAATTAAAGGCGGACGGTAAGAAGCTCCTACGAGTATCGGCCCCTTTAAGTAGTTAGGACGGAATCGTAAACAGGCTCTTTGTAATGCATCGTCATTGATGTCGACACGACATAGTGAGCGGCTTAAGCTCCACTTTTTTCAATTTGATTTTTTTTCTTTCCTTCTAGCTTGCTAAAGCCATTAAGCAGCTACGAGCCAGTCATCGACTTATACTCTCGGGAACACAAATCCAGGTACGAATGGAGGGGCTTTTATTAAGCAAATGAAGCTATGCGATTTAAATATGGGAAGATGACGAGTCACTGTTCCCACAGCTATTCCACATGTAGATCTTAAAATCTTCTTCATTTACCTACGAAGAGGAGGATTAATATTTTCCTCTGCCTTGTATAATGTGAGGAAATGTCAACAGGAGCTTCTGTCGAACAGCAAAATGTTGTTCATGTTTCTGAAGTATTTTACGTCACAAGATTAAATATTCAGACAATTGAGACTTGCTCGTTCTCATGTGTCGTTCATCTTTGTTTCATTCTCACCATACTCCTTTGTTATGATTTATCTTTCCGTAGGGTAGCGTAATTTTGTAGTTTTTTGTATTGCTTTACCTTTTTTAGTCTTGCAAAGATTTGATACAGTGCTTTACGTTCATGACATGCTCATGTTTTATTTTCAGAGTAATGTCCTTGAGCTGTGGTCATTGTTTGATTTCTTAATGCCTGGTTTTCTTGGAAGTGAAAAGCAGTTTCAGTCTCGGTTTGGTAAACCCATTCTACAGAGTAGAGACGCAAAATCATCCTCTAAGGAACAAGAAGCTGGTGAGAATCCATGGATTGAGTACTAAGTAGCTAACACACAACCTGCGTAGCTTTTGGTCCTTGATGAAAAATAAGGCAGTCTAGACAGTAAAATGAACGTCAGAGCTCCAATTCTCTTTTCGTCACTCAAGAGTTCCACAAAGCCGCTAGATACACGTGTTAGTCACCTCAGCACTCTGACATCTGGCTTAGCGTTTTTTGAACAAATAGGACAATAGATGTTGTGCTTCACCAGTAAAAAAGAAAGAAACCGGCCTCTGCAAGATGCTCACACTTTTCAGCTATCATAGGGTTAATACTTCGTGTATTTGACTGAAATGTTGGATGGTTTTACCCTGAATTTCCCGCCAGTCTCACCCTTTTCATTCCAAAGACCACGCCCTAAAGAAAGTGAGTTGTCCCTCCTCGGTGATGATTTTGTTGAAAAAGTAGAAAATGAAGGTCTTCTAGCAGAAGACTGTTTGCCTGTCAGTAAGATTTCATAGCATTGTGGGTCATACATGAGGTGATACCGTGGTTTGTATTTACATATGTGTCCCATTCTTAGGGGCCTTGGCCATGAAGGCCCTTCATCGTCAGGTTTTACCATTCCTATTGAGGCGCCTGAAAGAAGATCGCTGCAAGATCTTCCACCTAAGATCATTCAAGATTACTACTGTGAACTAAGTCCGCTACAGGTCAGTCTGTTGCTATGGCCAACAATCAAAGTGCGCCACTGGGTCGATGTATAATAGTTTTCGACAATATTTGATAGTTCTGGACAGGAGATGAATATTCAAGCAGTTGTGCGAAAATTTCAAGGATTTTTGTATTTAGTGGTATTTTTTATTTCGAATTATTTTGAATTATTCCACGAGCGCGCGTTGGATATGAAATGACGGGCCTCGTTGGCGATAATCATCTCATATCCAACAAGGGCGAGTAGATTGACCCTTTTATCAAATATGCCCCAAACTATAAATAAATCTTCCTAACTTTATTTTGTAAGAAAAACGGAATGTTACAATGCATAAAAACACTTCCGATTTCACTCGTCTTCATGCGCGCGCGTGATGACTCATAACTCATGATGGCTAAGCCAATGAAAACTCTTGAATTGCATTATCCAATAATCCAGTTTTTAATAACAACTTGTAGTCAGCTTTCCAATTTCCCCAAGGTGGATAGAACAGTCAACACCTCTTTCGCGTCTTCCTTTGTTCTCAAACTTATGAAAGACATTCTCATTGTCCGCTCGTTTCTAAACCCAATTGTCAAGTGAAAACATACTATACAATTAGATATTTTATAAATTGAGTCTTCAAGTCGGACTTTTTTTTTTCTGTTAGACTTCAGAAGTTTAAACTGAACATCACCAACACAATGATCTCGCAAGACAACTCGAGCCTATTGACCATGGATACTGGACAACTCCTGGATCTCTTTTCAGTCGACCAAGAAAAGAAGAGAGAAAAACCAAGCGCACAACAGTCGAATGCAACTGGGAAGACTTCGCTCAAAACTATGATTGAAAATTTGGGAGAGCTATGGGACGAGGAACAGTATGAAACAGAATACAATTTAGACAACTTCATTGGTTCGCTGAAGTGAAAAATAGTATGCGTCATTTTGGGATAGATGATTGTCAGTTTAACAACCTGGCCTTATGTCTGTGTTGGTGGAGGCGAAGTTGTCCTGGTCATTGAAGTTTACCTTGGAGCAGCCATAAAGATCCAAAAAGGAGAACCGAGGTTAATCGAAAGGTTAAACACCTTCTTGGGTCGTTGCCCCGCATTTTGCGAAAGGAAGTTGGAAATTAAAACATTGCTCAGGAAGTTTCTTCAACAGTTTATGAAGTGACAAAGAAAACAAGTAAGGAAACAGACAACCAAAACAAATATTGATTTGATATTCTCAAATTAAAAATGCCTCAGAAAATTGACGATGATGTAAACATTTTGGAGGTAATAGGCTGAATTTCATAAAGTTAGCTCGCCTTCGCATATTAGTAAAATAATAAGAACACATTCAGTGTAATTTGAACGTAGCTAGCGTATATTCGGGCATAGGGCGTCGCGCTCCAGGAAAGACACTTTACTTTGTTTGATTTAGATCAAATTCCCACTTACGAAACATCTTTGGTGATGGCAATTAGGCATGTGGTGAAATAAAGGTTTTCACTTTGTTATAGTTGTATTGTTTTGTTCCTTTTTTCCGTTATGTTAAAGCTTGTAGAGGGAGAGGACTGTTGGTGGGTTTTATTAATAGACCAGTAATCACAATTCTCCTGAACTTTGAACAAAATCAGGAACTTTTTTTTGTGATTAGTACCCGTAGTATCCGTTTGAATCTTCAGTAAGAATAGCTATAATCTAAGCATTTGGATTTCAAGTTCAAAAAGTTCTACTCGATTAGGAGTAAAAGACTTAATGAATCCCAGTTAAACGATGACTAGACCTGGGTAGGGGGCTGTCTAATGACTGAGACATGTGAAACCCTAACTACTCCGGCAACAGCACAAAGGAAAGCGACCGAGCCAGTAAGATATGACACGAAATAAACTTCACTAAGAGGAAAACATAGTTTAGCATATACATTATTAACAGATAATCACGTTTTTCCTCGTACAATTTGCTTAGGGCTAGGGCTAGGGCTAGGGCTAGGGCTAGGGCCAGGGCTAGGGCTAGGGCTAGGGCTAGGGCTAGGGCTAGGGCTAGGGCTAGGGCTAGGGCTAGGGCTAGGGCTAGGACTAGGGCTAGAGTTAGGGTTAGGTTAGTTAAATCAACAACCATATATTTTTAAAGAACTAAAAATTTTACACGCCTTACGGGTTCGTGCAATTTGGGTAGTCTTTGAACAGTTCACTTGTGCTAATTTTTCCCAAGTTGTACTTAAAATCTTGTGATTTTCTTATGAGAATCTATAATTCATATAAATATTAAGTAATAAATGCATTTTAAGAACAACGAAAAGATAAAACGTTTACAGTTTTAAAGCGTTCGCTATTGACATATTCCTTGTGTACCCTAAAATATTCTTTAGACGGTCCATAGCGGCATCGGTGATTTGATTTATCTCCATATTAAGTTTTGTAACTTTACACGTTGGTGCCTGTAATGCTTGACATAGACTGGCAACACCGGCATCGGTGATCTGATTAAAACCCAGATCAAGTTCGGTTACTTTACATGTTGGTGCCTGTAATGCTTGACATAGACTGGCAACACCGGCATCGGTGATCTGATTAAAACCCAGATCAAGTTCGGTTACTTTACATGTTGGTGCCTGTAATGCTTGACATAGACTGGCAACACCGGCATCGGTGATCTGATTAAAACCCAGATCAAGTTCGGTTACTTTACATGTTGGTGCCTGTAATGCTTGACATAGACTGGCAACACCAGCATCGGTGATCTGATTACCACCCAGATGAAGTTCGGTGACTTTACATGTTGGTGTCGGTAATGCTTGACATACACTGGCAACACCGGCATCGGTGATCTGATTATTATCCAGATCAAGTTCGGTGATTTTACATGTTGGTGTCTGTAATGCTTGACATAGACTGGCAACACCGGCATCGGTGATCTGATTTCGACTCAGAGGAAGTTTGGTGACTTTACATGTTGGTGTCTGTAATGCTTGACATAGACTGGCAACACCGGCATCGGTGATCTGATTATCATCCAGATAAAGTTCGGTGACTTTACATGTTGGTGTCTGTAATGCTTGACATAGACTGGCAACACCGGCATCGGTGATCTGATTTTCACTCAGATAAAGGCCGGTGACTTTACATGTTGGTGTCTGTAATGCTTGACATAGACTGGCAACACCGGCATCGGTGATCTGATTCTCATCCAGATGAAGTTCGGTGACTTTACATGTTGGTGTCTGTAATCCTTGACATAGACTGGCAACACCGGCATCGGTGATCTGATTCTCATCCAGATAGAGTTCGGTGACTTTACATGTTGGTGTCCGTAATGCTTGACATAGAATGGCAAAACCCGCATCGGTGATCTGATTACCACTCAGAGCAAGTTCGGTGACTTTACATGTTGGTGTCTGTAATGCTTGACATAGACTGGCAACACCGGCATCGGCAATCTGATTAAAACCCAGATAAAGTTTGATGACTTTACATGTTGGTTTCTCTAATGCTTGACATAGACTGGCAACACCGGCATCGGTAATCTGATTACCACCCAGATGAAGTTCGGTGACTTTACATGTTGGTCTCTGTAATACTTGACATAGACTGGCAACATCGGTATCGGTGACCGTGCAAGAAGTCAGTTTAAGTGTGGTGATTGTATTCCATTCAGATTCCTTCTCTTCACTGAGTGCACCTAAAACATTTAATGTAAAAGACACAGCAGGACAGTCCACATCCCCCATCCTAGAGCCAGAAAGACCAAAAGATCCATTTCTTATGTCGAATACGTCGTGAAATCTCTTTACTATTCCCTTGGCAAACTCAATGTCTTCGTATCTTAGGAGACATTTAGAAATTAAATGCCCCCTTTTGGCTTCTTTTTCCCATAAGTCGTCGCTGAGAACTGTGTGGATAATCATCTTCTCCTCAAATTCGTTGTCTTTTTGCTTGGACAAAATACCAGACATAAACAGAACTACTTCTGTAGACACATGTTTGGGGGGGATAGTTCTTGTCTCTACAAACCAACGAGCCGCCAAGTACTCTTGAAGAGTCAAATGTGTAAAACAAAAATGTTTAGTCGTCTCAGAAAAAGATTTTCTGAAAGGAGGACCGCAATGAAGAAGACCGCTTCCACACAGAATCAGTTCAACCTCATGTAAGTTCAAAGTTTTCAAATCCTCTTTAAAGAAAAGAAACTTTCTCTCCAGAAGAAGTTGAGCTGCCAGCTTTGATAATTCATCCAGAGTCTTCTTGAGAGAGGCTCTTTTCTTTGTATCGTGTCTTCGCACGAACATGTTGACCACTCCATCATAAAGGTCACTTGTTTTCACCGGGAGAGGATTATTTTTCTTTGGTTGCTGTAGAGTATATTCGAAGTAGGAGCACATAAGAAAACAGAGCACAGGAATGTGGGCAAAGCTGACAAGATTGTCATTCTTTGTAATGTGGTCCATTACAATGTTTTTCATTCGGTCGTTGTTTTTGAAATACTTTCCAATGTATTCTTTTACCTGTGGCTCGGAAAATCCTATAATTTCAACGTATCTGTCAAAATAGATGTCTTTGGCTTTCATTTCGTCAGATTCGTCGGGTCTTGACGTGATCATGACAACCGAACCTCTCAGTATTTTTCCTTTGATAAGCTTGGCACACAGTGCTGCTACTGGCATCTTCTCTTTGGCGTTATTTGGGTACTTTTCATCCGAATCACTAGCGATGTACTCTCGTTGTGAACACTCGTCATACCCGTCGATGATAATCAAAACTTCTTTGGAATGATGAAGAATGTACTCAAATATAGAGTCGTCGATATTTGAGTGGTCATCTAGCGCTGAAGATCGGTTTAAGATATCCTTTAAGGTAACAGGGTCGTCCCCAAGTAGGTTAAGCTGACGGAACGTGAGCAAGTATGCGAACTTAAAATCAGGTACTTCTGCATTTGCTCTGGATCGAAACAATTTGTTGTCAGCCCAATCTCTGATCAGCTTTTGACAAAACAGTGTTTTACCGATGCCTGCCTTTCCAGCGACAAGAACAGATTTTGGATGTTTCCCATCGGTTGGGATGAAAATTTCTTGAGAGCTTTTAATTTGCTTTCCACTTATTTGACCGTACTGGCGAAGGCGTTTTTTTCGTTTCCCGTCGGTTGGGATGATAATTTCATGAGAGCTGTTTATTTGCTTTCCACTTATTTGACCGTACCGGCGAAGGCGTTCTTTTCTTTTCACATGAGGATCTTCGACTGGTTTTCTTCCATGTTGCATGAGAATGTTGGTGAATATGTCATCTGTTCTTACTTTGGACGTGGTCGGTGAGGCCTGAACGAGGTACTCGGTGTGGCTTTTTATTGATTCTTTCAACGCATCGGAGTATTCCGCTACAACTGAAAGGAAAACCGTTACCTTTATTTATTTTGATAAACTATTCATTTAGTACCTTTTCCGATGTTCGACGAAGAGTTATTGATCTGCCTGACTTGTAACGCGATTGGTTATCACGCTAGCAGAGTTTTGCTTTAATTAGGCTTTCTGAAAAGTGCAAGTTAATCTTGAATCCGTTCGCAATTAATTGACACCAAATGCCAAATGCCAAATTTAGATTGATCTTTAGCTGACTCTCACCCTGTGAACACCTCGCTATTACAGACACCATGCCACAGTGGACAAGAGCCAACCCCTGAGGAAACGCGTAAAGAAATGACTGAAATAGATTCCCTTTGAACTCTTGCTGTTGCTATAAAGTTTTACTTATTTTATCTCTTGCTATAGCAGACACTTCAATACTTCATCCAAAATCCTGACTCCACTAAAGCAACTTTATGATAAAGGAAAACAAAGAAACCATTCTTCAGTTGGGTGCAAACATTTTAATTTCTATCGTACCCTTTTATTACGGACTCTCGCTATTGCAGACACTATATCACCCCCCACCCCCCATGGTGTCTGCACTAACAGTAGTTGACTGTGCTTGGAAAAGTAACAACTGACATAACTGTTAAAAGAATTTAAGAACATTCTAATTATCACCTAAGAATTTTAATTTTGACTAATCCTTAGCTTCAGGGTCTCTTTTCACTCACCTTCCTTTTCCTGAAGTTTCACAGTGATGTATCTTACTTCCTGTTTTCTTTTGTGACCAGAAGTGGACAGTAAGGTGGAGGGTGATGTACCTGAGAGGAAAAGTACAAAGAGCAATTCATGGTGTTACTTTTAATAGCGAAATGAAAACAGGTCTAATCAACATGCAATTAACTGACATACCGTGTCACGACGTCACCGTCGGTTGTTTGAGTCATAATTTAAGATCAATATTGAAAACATCCAGTTTATCATTATACACTGTTTCACCAACCCCAGCCTCTACCATCTCAATATTCCCTTATAGCAAAACACAGAGAGAGGGAAAACTAAATTGGGTATAACTGCCTTAAAAAAAACATTTTTAATGAGAACTAAATGTATTTAAAAGTATTCTTAGATTAGTTTTACCATGAAATTTAATTTAACAGCATCATTTATTCACCTTCCATTCTTTGGAGTTTCATACGTGGCTCTTCTAGTTCTTCTTCAGGATCAAAGGTGGAAGATCCAGGAAGAGGCAACATGCCTAAAAATAAAGTTATACAGAGAGATATTAGCATTTCTACTAATAAATAGTTAGAAACAAACAATTACCAACTTGTAGTTAAAGATAGATTTTAAAAAGGTGCTCAAAACATCTATTTGATATTCACATATATATCTCATGTATATTGTCTTAACCCTTTACATCCTAACATCAGTCTGCATATTCTCCACACTGCTCCTTATACATTTCCAAGTGTGCTGAAAAGGAGAATTTGTTTGCCAATCAAAAGTTTCTTTCCCTCTTGACCATGTCCCTTATTCTCATCACCTTAATGTGTGATTCAGGAGTGATATTGTAGGGAGAAATTAGATGCTGGTCACTCTTAGGGATTAAAGGGTTTATTCCACAAACCAACTCAAATTACTTTCACATACGTAGAGTATCAGGCACAATCATATCTGGAATAATTTTCATAAATCTACATTATTTACAGCAATACATGTATTCATGGTGTTACTTTTCTTTGAGAAATAATAATTAACACAGCAAACCAAAATGTGACCATCTGTATATATGTGCATGAAATTTATCCAAAATACATCACCAATGCCAGTTTTTCAACACATAATTTATGATTAAGGTTGGGAAAAACCTTCTTTATACTATTATTATACTATTATTATGATTATGATTATTATTATTATTATCATTTTATTATTATTAAAACTGTTTTACCATTTACTGCCACTGATCTAAACATAAATAAATAAATTGGCTTTTAATTCCTCTCAAATTAATCTTTTTAATGAAGAACTGAAAGTATTTCAAATAATTGTCAGTTTAGTTTTACCCTACAGACCCTAGCAACCTTAAATGTTTAATCCCAAAAGCACACTTCTTTACACTTGACATCATAGCTGAACACACTGAACATATTCACTTATAGAAATTAATTCAAACTGAGCTTCCTTTCCTTGGCTTCAAGGTCTCTTTTCACTCACCTTTCTTTTTCTGAAGTTTCACAGTGCTGTGCCTTACTTCCAGTTTTCTTTTGTGACCAGAAGTGGACAGTAAGGTGGAGGGTGAAGTACCTGAGAGGAAAAGTACAAAGAGCTATTCATGGTGTTACTTTTAATGGCAACACGAAAACAGGTCAAATCAACATGCGATTAACTGACATACCGTGTCACTATCAGTTGTTTGAGCCATAATTTAAGATCAACATTGAAAACACCCAATTTATCATTATATACTGTTTCTGTCACCAACCCCAGCCTCTACCATCTTAATATATTTCCTTATAGCAAAACACAGAGAGAGGGAAAACTAAATTGGGTATAATTGCTTTAAAGAAAAACATTTTTAATGAGAACTAAATGTATTTAAAAGTATTCTTAGATTAGTTTTACCATGAAATTTAATTTAACAGCATCATTTATTCACCTTCCATTCCTTGGAGTTTCATATGTGGAACTTCTAGTTCTTCTTCAGGATCAAAGGTGGAAGATCCAGGAAGAGGCAACATGCCTAAAAATAAAGTTATACGGAGAGATATTAGCATTTCTACTGATAAATAGTTAGAAACAGCCATACCAACTTGTAGTTAAAGATAGATTTAAAAAAGGCGCTCAAAGCATCTATTTGATATTCACATATATATCTCATGTATATTGTCTTAACCCTTTACATCCTATCATCAGTCTGCATATTCTCCACACTGCTCCTTATACATTTCCTAGTGTGCTGAAAAGGAGAATTTGTTTGCCAATCAAAAGTTTCCTTCTCTTTTGACCATGTCCTTTATTCTCATCACCATCATGAGCAATTCAGGAGTGATATTGTAGGGAGAAATTAGATGCTGGTCACTCTCAGGGTTTAAAGGGTTTATTCCACAAACCAACTCAAATTCCTTTCACATAAGTAGAGTATCAGGCACAATCATATCTGGAATAATTTTCATTATTTTACATTATTTACAGCAATATATATATATTCATGGTGTTATTTTTCTTTGAGAAATAATAATTAACACAGCAAACCAAAATGTGACCATCTGTATATACGTGCATGAAATTTATCCAAAATACATCACCAATGTCAGTTTTTCAATACATAATTTATGATTAAGGTAGGGAAAAACCTTCATTATACTATTATTATACTTTTATTATGATCATGAATACAATTATTATTATTATCATTTTATTATTATTAAAACTATTTTACCATCTACTGCCACTGATCTAAACATAAATAAATAAATTGGCTTTTAATTCCTCTCAAATTAATCTTTTTAATGAAGAACTGAAAGTATTTCGAATAATTGTCAGTTTAGTTTTACCCTATAGACCCTAGCAACCTTAAATGTTTAATCCCAAAAGCACACTTCTTTACACTTGACATCATGGCTGAACACACTGAACATATTCACTTAAGAAATTAATTCAAACTGAGCTTCCTCTTCACCCTTCCTTGGCTTCAAGGTCTCTTTTCACTCACCTTTCTTTTCCTGAAGTTTCACAGTGCTCTGCCTTACTTCCTGTTTTCTTTTGTGACCAGAAGTGGACAGTAAGGTGGAGGGTGAAGTACCTGAGAGGAAAAGTACAAAGAGCAATTCATGGTGTTACTTTTAATGGCAACACGAAAACAGGTCAAATCAACATGCGATTAACTGACATACCGTGTCACTATCAGTTGTTTGAGTCATAATTTAAGATCAACATTGAAAACACCCAGTTTATCATTATATACTGTTTCTGTCACCAACCCCAGCCTCTACCATCTTAATATATTTCCTTATAGCAAAACACAGAGAGAGAGAAAACTAAATTGGGTATAATTGACTTTAAAAAAACATTTTTAATGAGAACTAAATGTATTTAAAAGTATTCTTAGATTAGTTTTACCATGAAATTTAATTTAACAGCATCATTTATTCACCTTCCATTCTATGGAGTTTCATATGTGGCTCTTCTAGTTCTTCTTTAGGATCAGAGGTGGAAGATCCAGGAAGAGGCAACATGCCTAAAAATAAAGTTATACAGAGAGATATTAGCATTTCTACTGATAAATAGTTAGAAACAGCCATACCAACTTGTAGTTAAAGATAGATTTAAAAAAGGTGCTCAAAGCATCTATTTGATATTCACATATATATCTCATGTATATTGTCTTAACCCTTTACATCCTAACATCAGTCTGCATATTCTCCACACTGCTCCTTATACATTTCCTAGTGTGCTGAAAAGGAGAATTTGTTTGCCAATCAAAAGTTTCCTTCTCTTTTGACCATGTCCTTTATTCTCATCACCATCATGAGCAATTCAGGAGTGATATTGTAGGGAGAAATTAGATGCTGGTCACTCTTAGGGTTTATTCCACAAACAAACTCAAATTCCTTTCACATAAGTAGAGTATCAGGCACAATCATATCTGGAATAATTTTCATTATTCTACATTATTTACAGCAATACATGTATTCATGGTGTTACTTTTCTTTGAGAAATAATAATTAACACAGCAAACCAACATGTGACCATATGTATATAAGTGCATGAAATTTATCCAAAATACATCATCAATGTCAGTTTTTCAATACATAATTTATGATTAAGGTTGGGAAAAACCTTCATTATACTATTATTATACTATTATTATTATGATTATGATTATGATTATAATTATTATTATTTTATTATTATGAAAACTGTTTTACCATCTACTGCTACTAATCTAAACATAAATAAATAAATTGGGTTTTAATTCCTCTCAAATTAATCTTTGTAATGAAGAACTGAAAGTATTTCCAATAATTGTCAGTTTAGTTTTACCCTATAGACCCTAGCAACCTTAAATGTTTCATCCCAAAAGCACACTTCTTTACACTTGACATCATAGCTGAACACACTGAACATATTCACTTATAGAAATTAATTCAAACTGAGCTTCCTTTCATTAGCTTCAAGGTCTCTTTTCACTCACCTTTCTTTTCCTGAAGTTTCACAGTGCTCTGCCTTACTTCCTGTTTTCTTTTGTGACCAGAAGTGGACAGTAAGGTGGAGGGTGAAGTACCTGAGAGGAAAAGTACAAAGAGCTATTCATGGTGTTACTTTTAATAGCAACATGAAAACAGGTCAAATCAACATGCAATTAACTGACATACCATTTCACTACGTTACTGCCAGTTGTTTGAGCCATAATTTAAGATCAACATTGAAAACACCCAGTTTATCATTATATACTCTTTCACCAACCCCAGCCTCTACCATCTTAATATTCCCTTATGGCAAAACACAGAGAGAGGGAAAACTAAATTGGGTATAATTGCCTTAAAAAAAATATATTTTTAATGAGAACTAAATGTATTTAAAAGTATACTTAGATTAGTTTTACCATGAAATCTAATTTAACAGCATCATTTATTCACCTTCCATTCCTTGGAGTTTCATAGGTGGCTCTTCTAGTTCTTCTTCAGGATCAAAGGTGGAAGATCCAGGAAGAGGCATCATGCCTAAAAATAAAGTTATGCAGATAGAGATTAGCATCTCTATTGATAAATAGTTAGAAACAGCCATACCAACTTGTAGTTAAAGATAGATTTAAAAAAGGTGCTCAAAGCATCTATTTGATATTCACATATATATCTCATATATATTGTCTTAACCCTTTACATCCTAACATCAGTCTGCATATTCTCCACACTGCTTCTTATACATTTCCTAGTGTACTGAAAAGGAGAATTTGTTTGCCAATCAAACGTTTCCTTCTCTGTTGACCATGTCCTTTATTCTCATCACCTTAATGTGTGATTCAGGAGTGATATTGTAGGGAGAAATTAGATGCTGGTCACTCTTAGGGTTTAAAGGGTTTATTCCACAAACCAACTCAAATTACTTTCACATGAGTAGAATATCAGGCACAATCATGTCTGGAATAATTTTCATTATTTTACATTATTTACAGCAATATTTGTATTTATGATGTTATTTTTCTTTGATAAATAATAATTAACACAGCAAACCAACATGTGACCATATGTATATAAGTGCATGAAATTTATCCTAAATACATCACCAATGTCAGTTTTTCAATACATAATTTATGATTAAGGTTGGGAAAAAAACCTTCTTTATACTATTATTATACTATTATTATGATTATGATTATTATTATTATTATCATTTTATTATTATTTAAACTGTTTTACCATCTACTACCACTGATCTTAATATTCCTTGAGAGAAAAATAAATTGAGTATTAATTTCTTTCAAATGAATCTTTTTAATGAAGAACTGAAAGTATTTCAAATAATTGTCAGTTTAGTTTTATCCTACAGACCCTAGCAACCTTAAATGTTTAATCCCAAAAGCACACTTCTTTACACTTGACATCATAGCTGAACACACTGAACATATTCACTTTAGAAATTAATTCAAACTTAGCTTCCTGTTCACCTTTCCTTCCCTGTGCTCTTCCAATAAGTTCTATTCCATGACCAGTGGTTGGTATTACAGTGAGGGGTGAAGTACCTAAGAACAAAAAGTACAGGGAGAGATGGAATACAGAAGATAAGGCACCTAAAATCAGATTTAAAAGAAAACAAATAATGAGGCAACCACTAAATGCTGACATTCAAAACCATACAACACACCTCAAATCATTTTTATAAAAACCCACACACAAATACAAGTAACATTTTCTTTTATAGCTCCTTCAACTAAAATCTTGCCAATTTTTATTTTAGCTTATTTTATTTTATTTATATTTGGAGCCAAAGATAAATACAACCAGACAGAAAGGGAAATATACTAGGAAATGTCTTGAAAACGAATCACTTCTAGCTGCAGATTGTCATTGCATACATAGTCAGCATGAGCTTAGTCATGAAACAATTGGTTCTATCTTGGTAAAAACCTGGACCCCCCTCTACACTTCTGTTAACCCTATGGTGCACCATGTTGAATGAGTGATGTGTTGTGTTCTCAATCTTTTGTAACATGACAAATTTCATATCAGGGAACTGTTACAGCTGATTTACTCATATCAAAACATTAACAGAAATAAATCATGCAATCTGGATGTGCTATCTACATGTACCTCCATTTAGTCTTTTACACAAGGTTTCTATATTTCCAAATACAGGAGGTTAAAGTAACATCACCTACACCTAAAATTTAAGCAAAGATAAAATCATTGAACATACCATATTCCACGACTTTCTCAATCAGCCCTTTAAACCTCTCACATTCTGCTTTCCAAGAGTACACCTTCCTGTAGTTCTCGCGAAGCTTCACAGCATTGGCTTCTCTCTCTTCCGCACTTTCTTCATACATCTCTCTGATCCTTTGTGCCCATTCACCTTCATCTTCATCCGATCCAACAATGACAGTGTCTCCACCTTCTACTTTTTGCAAAGCCTCAGCTATGCCAGATTCACCAGAGACTAGAACAGGAACACCAGCAGAAATGGCTTCGAGGGCAACAAGCCCAAATCCTTCGGTACGGGATGGCAGAGCAACCAAATCTGACTGATAGAACATCACATTGAGTTCCTCTTGTTCACTGCAATACTGACGGATGGTTAATTGGTTGCGGTTGATACACGTATTATCAAGAAACCATTGCTCAACTTTTTGTTGTTCACCGGGAGGTGCGCCAACAAATGTCAACTCAAAGTTCTTACCAAGAGAACCAATGGCATTTGCAATTATATCATAGCCTTTCAGGGAAAGATCCTCAAAGGCAGCTCGGCCAAACACAGACGCACTAAAATTCTTTACTACTGATCTGTTTACGGCCAACTTTGATTCATTGGAAAACTTTCCAAAGATCCCAGGAGTGATAACCCTTACTTCAACATTAAGGAGACGTCTGCTGTACTTCTGTTGTAGACGGGAGCCAACGGCGACAACTGCATCCGCTGCTTTACACAAATCAATTTCCATCTTATGCTTCTTCTCGTTCTCTTCGATTGTATCTTCTGCAGCCGTGGTAGATTCTTTATATTTCCCAAGGTCCTCACAGTAGACGTGAACAAACTGGATCCATTTACACTTTGTTGACTGTACAAGGAAATATGCAGGACTACCCAGCTTTCTTCCATGGCCTATTACCAGATGTGGGTTTGGGAGCTCTGAGGGTGGAAACTTCAAGCACTCGAGGGGGTCGGCTGAACCAGGAACACTTCGAGCTTTGATTGAATTGACACCATGTTGTTCAGCATCTTCTCTGTCCCGATCATCGCTATTAGAGACATAGCAGTGGATTTTCATACTACCAGCCGTCGCTTCTGCCAAATTAATAGCAAATTCTCGATTGAAAGTTGATAATCCACCTTTCGAAGATTTCCACTCGTCACAGAGAAACATGACATCTCTAAGCCTCTGTTCTTTCTTCTCCTCTTCGCCACTGTCAGCAGTAGATGCGCTCGAACACGCCATTGTTAATATCGTTCTAATTTCTTACAGCAAGTAATAAGCTTCACTCCACTAAATATCACATTCAAAGTAAATTCGTGAAGAACGTTCACGTTCGACTCCATTTAGCACACCTTGAGCATCTAACGTTGATGGTTCATGTTACAGAATGGTAAGAGTGTCTCACGGGATTCCAAAGGATCGTATCACGGAAGTTGGGAGTTACTTCATCATTAACGATGAGTGGGGAAAGAAAAAAAGACCCAAATACGAGTTGTCAGCGGTAAGAAAAAAAAAAGTGGCACACGAGGCGCAGCCTGATGTTCTTACCACATTTTGACGTCCTCTGTGATCTGTTACTGAACAGACGCACGGCAACTTGGAATCTATTTGTTTTATATAATAAAGAATTAAAAAAAGTTTCAATGATGACATCATCTATCGTCTGTCCTCCAATAGATCATAAGTGAGAACCAATAAAAATGCGTGCATAACTGAGCTTATTATATAAATATTGACATATCATTTGTAGTTGCAGAAAACAATCGTGTTGTAAAGTCGAAATGTAGACAGTTTGCTTCACTAAATAAAATGTTAAGTAATTTTTCAAAAGTATTGATAGTACATATATCTTTTACTGCTTTGATAAACAATGAAGACATCAGTGGCATCCGAGAGGCACCAAGAAGAATTAAATTTACGTTTTGTAACGTGCTGCGTGACGAAAAAAGGAGTATCATGATTTCCGGTTGTCAAAAATGTCAATCAAATTTGGCGCCAGCTTGGTTTTCGCACTCTTGGCCCGGGTCGCACTAGGTAAGTTTTGATCAATAATCCGTCAAAAAAAGATTATAGTCTGTAATCACAACGCGTTTCCTTATGCGACCGGTGTTTCACAAATTTCTACGGAAAGTCCGAAGAAACTTCAAAGACACCGAAGTGTATGGGAGGGGCAGGTAGATTTTGAAAAAATCGAAAAAAACAAGACACCGTTAGATATGACCTGCAGTTAAACTACTCAATCGGCGGGAATTTTAATGTTCATCCGCTAACTTTCTCCTTTTTATTATGCGCCGGGATCATTCCCAAGCTAAAAATTTGCGTCATTTCCAACCTAAATCGGCTGGACCGATCTTAGATCACGCGCGACCCAACGGAATTTTGCTTAATCAGTCCGATAGTCCGGCAAGTGTGATAAGTGAGAGCGACAGCCCGACAAGCTCCGGGTCAGTCGAAGGTTTGGCAGAAAACGACAAAAAACAATACGATAAATGGCCGCAAGAAGAGCAAAGGGCTCTAGTAAGCCTATGGGCAGAACATCCTGAGCTACTAGAGAGCAAAGACGCACGAAAAATGTGGGAAGAAATTGCGCGTGAGTTAAATCGCAAGTTTGGAACCAAGCGCACAGGCGATAAATGTTAAAAGAAGATGACGAGGAATGGTGCACATATAAGGCGCAACACGAATTCTACATAAATGCCGTCGTCTTCTTAAAAAAGCGACATTCACGATATTCATGTAATCATTTATCCATCTCTAATACAGCGTGAAAAAGGCAAACATTTGCTGCTGTTGCATGTCGATAATTTGTAGAAATAGAATGGCAAAAGCAAAGCAAAATGCCTGATTTGAGTTCATGTTTATAACCGCACAACACGCGTCAGAAATGAAATCTGATCAACTGTGTTTATTTTGACCTATTCTTGTATTTCGGTAGTGTGACCCAAAAATTGTGACATTTTTCGGCACTTCCGGCTGCGGTTTCAACTTTTCGAAAATTTTTTGGCTGCCCAATTTTTGGTTTGGGCTATAATGCGACCTAAGCCCTAGTTTGCCTTTTCCGGAAGATTTTGCCATGGATGAAGACCAAAAGCCAACAACGTTAAGAGTTTTATAAATCGACTTTTTGAAAGAACAGCTCCATGGCTTTTCTGTCGAAGGCGACTTTTGTTTTGGATATTTCGAGGGAAACAGAGCAGAGATGGATGATCTGTTAGTTTCATTTCAGGTGTAAGGAACTCCACGTGTTATGTACTTACAGAAAGCCATTCAAAAGAGCAAAACCACAACAGATTTTCTCAAACAGGTATATAATCTCTCATTGTTTTAAAGTGCACAGATCCCGGTTTCCTGACTGATTCTCCTAATTCAGTGATAATTTAAGGGGGGATTCTACCTGAAATTAGCTCAAAATATTGTTTTTTTGTTTTCTTCAGAAATGCGAGGTTCAACTATTCGACTTTACACTGACGATCGTTTTTACCGAAAAATTTTAAAATATAAATGAGAAATTACGTTAGAAAAGAAGAGGTATCTAAATAGAAATCTCGTTTCCATGGCAACCAAAACAGCATTTTTTGTTTCTTACTTGTTTACCAGCCTGTTTGGAGCTCAAAATATGTCAAACAAGCCCGAAACGCCCCTTAGAATCCTTGTGCTGTCTTACATGAATGGGAAAATAAGAAATTGAAAGAGTAACACTGGAGACGAGTGAGAGATTTTTGTGTGAAAGTTGTCACAGTGTATTGCGAAATATTGAACTCCTTTTTTGTCTCTTTTGTGCTGGAATGACTGGAAAGAAGAAAAGAACCGTTTACAGGAAAACTAGGAAAAGAAAGGGGCATGGAGGAGATCGTAAAAAGCGCAATTACTGAAGAAAAAAGCGGTTGCAACAGGAAGAGTGAACCAAACGAACCGACCCCAGGAACTTCGCACGATCAGTCTGATCTGTCAGATTTTGGCGAAGAAAGCGATCAGCTTCCTAGTTCTTCAAGGAAGAAGATGAGATTCCAGAGCTCAGAAGATGAGTCTTCTTCAAGTTCTGATGAAAACAAAAAAGTTTTCGAGGTAGCTGAGGTAGAAAAAAAGATACAGGCTCGTTGATCTAAAGAGCTTCTCTTCTGTGCTCTCAACTTTACACAAATGCGAAGAAGGTGAGAAAAATATCACACATCATAAATATGCTTTTCAGCCCCTTGAACCTAAAGAAAAACGATAGTTAGAATTATTTGCAGAAAAGGAGTTTTATTATTGTTTAATCATTTTTTCTGATCTTTCTTCACTGCAACACTTGTACACATTTATGGAGGTGTGAACTAATGCTCCAACATTGTGGTTCTGTTTGGTTCAGTAACTATAGCTAATAGCATCCTTTTCCGTCATGTTTTTAATATAGGAGACCTTACTATTGAAGAAAATACCGCTAGCCGTTATGGACTGATGTCAGATCTCTCCATTCACTGCAATTCTTGTGATGAAAGTACTCCTTGGCAGACATCACCCAACCTTGCCAAGAAAGGCAAATCATTTGATGTCAACCGGAGAGCTGTCTACCACTCAATAGAAACTGGAAGTGGCTACGACGGACTCTCTTCTTTCTGTGCGATAATGAACATGCCTTGTTTGTCAAGAGCTGCTTACTACAAGCAAGTTGATGTAATTTTGGAAGCACTGGAAAGTGAAGCAAAAGAAGAACTAAAAGGTGCAGGCCAAAGGCTCCGAAAGCTAATCATGGAGGAAAATGGCATCTCAGACAGCACCACAATAATTGATGCTGCTGTTAGCTTTGATGGCACTTGGGCCAAAAGAGGTTTCACATCACTAACAGGTGTTGTTTTCGTCATCTCAATTGACACAGGAGAAGTTTTAGACTATCACGTGATGTCTAAATCTTGCCGTAAGTGCTCCCTAAAGAACTCACAATGTGAAGGGAATGTGGAAGAGTTTGAAGAATGGAGGAGGGAGCATGTTGCATCTGGAGATTGTGACATCAACTTCGAAGGAAGTTCACCTGCTATGGAAGCAGAAGGAGCTTCTGTTCTTTGGAATAGATCCATCGAACTTCATAACATGAGGTACAAATGGATGGTGTCAGACGGGGACAGTAAGGCCTTTAACACTGTTCAACATGCCTATGATGACTGTGAAGTTATTAAACTGGATTGTGTAGGCCATGTGCAGAAAAGGATGGGCAAACATTTAATGAATTTGAAGGCATGCAGTAAGGGTAAACTTGCTGATGGAAAACCTATAGGAGGGCGTGGCCGGCTTACAGAAGGAAAGATCAAGCAGCTTCAAAGGTACTATGGCCTAGCAATCCGGCAAAACACCTTGACCAAGGCAAATCCCTCTGAACGGGAGGTTGACATTGCAGTTTATGCTATGAAAAAATATTATTGCCATTCTCCATCACTGTGTAAATTCAACTGACAATGCTAAACAACACCGCTTCTGTCCACCAGGTGATTCATCATGGTGCAAATGGCAACAGGACCAGGCAACAGGAACCAGTACCTACAAAGGAGATGACTGTTTGCCCGAAGTCTTCGTGGAGACTCTAAAACCCACATTTGTGTCATTAAGTGATAGTAAACTTTTAAAATGAAAGCATCAACGCAATGGTTTGGGTCCGGTGTCCCAAACATAAACACCATGGAGTGAAAGTTGTCCGGTGTGCTGCTGCGTCTGCAGTCTGCCACTTCCACAGAGGTGCAGAAAGCAGAGAAAGATTGATGGAAAGGCTTTCAATTCCTGGAGGTGCATTTACTGAGGATGCATTTCGACTAAGAGATAATTCAAGGCTTCGAAAGCTGATAAGCAGGCAACGGCCAAGGAGAAGAAGCGCCGGCAGGGGGATTGCAGCTTATCCGTTACTCAAAGAGAAGCGGCTCTTCGTGAAAAGAAGATGTTTCATATGAAGCTGGGGCATTCTAACTCTTGCTCTTGCCTATCCTAATTATATTTGAACTTATGGCTACTCATTGACTTCATAATTTGAATACAGGAGGTGTTTAATTTTAAAATCTTGTAACTTTAGGCCTTTTTTTTCTCAAAACGTATTTTTAATACTTGAGAAAAGATTACTCAAGAAGTATGAGAGCTATGGACCTGAAATTTTTAGGGATTGCTGATCTAATTGAGTTATTTGGGATGAGTGAAGGAAAATGCCATAGAGGTCTTTCTAAAGAAATGATTAAACAAATAGTGATCATGTGTTAGATGTGTAACTTGACACCAGTGCTGTGATGTCAAATTTAAAAATTCTTAAAATCCTTCACTCATCCCAACAAGTATTCAATATTCTTTAGAATAACAGCAAAATATTGGTATTTCATTGAAACAGTTTCTAACAATCTTTACTCAAGTACATATAGGTGAGACACTACAAGTTGTTAATTGAAATGACCGGTGTCAGGTTACATTTGCTGCAGGTGTGACATAACACCTTTTTTTGAAAAATATAGTTCATAAGCTTTCCAGTGATATATAGTTTTAGATAGTTGTGACCAAAACTTAAATTCCTACAATTATTTGAAAAAATGCACTTTTTTTAGGTAGAATCCCCCCTTAAGTGCCGCTCTCGCTAAGAGCGGTCCTCTCAACTTCCCGTCGGGAAAAAGTTTCCTTTTATTTTTTGCCCATGAATAGGCCTAGGGTTTAGGATAAATGTTTCAAAAATAGTTTAGTTGTTCTCCAATTCTCTTTTTTTGCATCGCCACAAGCCAAAAATGATTTTTGGCCACACCACCCCTGTGGACAGCGATCGAAAGTGTAAATTTCAAAGATTTTGTCCAGCGCGCAGCGACTGCAACAATGTAGCTCACGGAATTCTATCTTGCTACAAGTTACAAGATGTATTCAGTTACTTCACAGACAAAATATGGAAACTTCAGCTGAAATATTTTTCATACCAGCGTGATCAGAGGAGACCTTTCTCTTCGACATTAATTTGCATATCAAAACCTCATTACTTTGTACGAAAGAATTCTCAAGACGCAGGCGTTAATCTAGCTGAAAAAGCATATCAGTGCATAATTTATACACCAATGAGGTTACGGATTGCCTCAAACCCGCGGGTATATCTCTAGCTTCCATCCATCGACATCTTAAAAACAACGCAAATCCATGTGTTTGCTCAATTGCGCACACGTCAAAGATCATTTGCAGGATTCTGAAAATTGACCAAAATCTCCTTTTGACCGTTCAAACTTCGTTCATTTATCTTCTACGTTGAGGATGCCGAGTTGTCCTGAAACGTTGCGTAAACGTGATCGGTCGTAACGCTTGCGCGCTTGCGTGACTTACAAACTAGACAAAGGTGATCGGAAGACGCCTTCTCGATCATTTACGTTGAAATATCAGATCATGAAATACGCACAGTGTGGAGGAGATCAAAATTAAAGAATGAAATATGGCACTCTGGTCATAACAGACATATCGCGTCGCTTAAAAGGACACAAAAACAAGTTAAAATAGGTTACAGTGTTCATATTTACAAAACAACACGCACACACTCTGAAACAATTCTTGCAGTTTCTCCCGAGACCCGATGAACTAGCCCTCCTTCCTGCAAATTTGTTTCCGTCATGAATGATGTTACGCTCTTATGGACCACGACAGTTTTGAGCGAAAAACTCAACATTTCCCTGCGACCATCAAAATAAGTTGGACAAACTCAGCTTGATGTATTGCGTGACGTGGTTGTGCAAACTTTTCTCTTTGTCATACGACCTGTTTCGCTAGTTCTACAAGTTGGAACCAAAATTAGTTAGTTAAGCAACCCTATTCATGGGCAAAAAATAAAAGAAAACTTTTTTCCGACGGGAAGTCGAGAGAACCGCTCTTAGCGAGAGCGGCACTTAATAGAGAAGAATCGCTGTCTCTCAGAGTTTATGTTAAATTTCTTCGAAGGCAGTCTTACGCGATTTGCAAGATGCTACGTCTTAACTTGCCTATATCTGTATATTATTTCATTTCAGTTTCTTTTTGTTTGTTGTTATTGCTGTTGTTATTATTTTTTATCGATTTATCTCTACCTAAAAGGTCTATTTGGTTTAAAAGCAGCCAACAGTGGCTTTGGTTGAAAGGTTTGGGTCAAAGGTCTGGTTCTTATTGCCACTGGCACGTAAACCGGAAATAAGACATGTTGCTTAACAACTCTATCTGATTCTATTTGACAGCAACTCCCGTACTTGAAAAACAACCGCGGAAGTGTCCCCATACAGTTGTTTGGCCATCCCTTTTCAATCTCTGGCAGTGAAGCTCGACATTGTATACATGGATCTACAAAGGTTGGTAACAGTTATAGTAAATGAATTAACAAACATTCAAATTTTAAGTAAAAAAAGAGGCCAATCGAGAAATGATAATGCGGGTATCAGCGGCCATCCCGTGACAAATACATGCTAAAGCCCCTCGGGTAGGACAAAAAATTGGGACAAATACCCCCACGCCTGGAGCAACCTGGGCAACATATAATCGGTGTTGCCTGTTCCTCGATGCAAAAGTACGAGTGCTCATGGTTTACTGAAGCCACATCAGCACTAAAATCCACACAAGTCTCTATGGAGTCCTCAAATTCGAGCTTTCTGGGGCAAACTTTCTTGGCTTGCGGTTGTTCATCACACTGTCTCTTCCTATCGGCAAGACGCTTCGAATGCGAACTAACCGTATGAAATTGAAATCTCGATGTAGCTTTCCTTAAAATGCAATGAACAGATTCTTGGATCGCCGAGTGTCTTGAATTTTTTATCCGCTCGCTTACAGAAAACCTCCCACTTCTTACGCTCATTGGGCCTTGTAGGAAAGCAAAAATAACTGAGATCAGGTCGTTTCTTACTCCCATTACGGCACAGAGCAACAGCACAATACTTGACCATGGTACACAGGAAAATATTACCTCCAGGGCTAGAAGAACATCGATCGAGCGGGGTCGCGAATTCCCACGTAGACTCTGTGACCCCCTTCTGCAGTATGATTTTATCGTGTCAGCGGTCGTCTCACTTTAGTAATAATAAACAAGGATCTGCCTGCAGTCAACCAGCGGTATCACAATTGATTACTCTACTCTGATCAGTTGGGTTCCGGAGTTGAAACCGGAAAAATTTCCACACAGCCCCATACTTAATTATGCATGTACATCTTACTGGTGATACACTGAATAATAAAGCCCCATATATGGATGTATAATGATGTATGGGGCTGTGCGGAAATTTTGCCGCTGAGCTTCCAAGGTGGCCATATATACTTTGCCGTTAAGATCAGGAATAGGTTCGTCTGTTTGATAGTCTACTGGCCCATTGAAAACTTAGTAGTTGACATCAGTTAAAATTAAGAACAAGTAAGCATTATTATCGTAAAAAATATACAGCTTTTAGAAGCTGGCCAGTAAGGTATTCTTGGCTTATTGCAGAAGGAAATGTAATGGTTTCATATTAATAATTAGTCATGGTGAAGAGCAGGTCCTTCACAATAACAGTTTGAGTTGGTGAAGGGGGAACTCAAGTGTGTTCGCATGAGCTGGGAAAACTTGGATTTCAAATTACTGCAGGGAGGGGGGAGTTGAACAGAGGGGTCTGTATATCCTGATTCCCATACCCTTATTAAATGGCTCTTGCCTCTGTTTTATTTTCATTGCAAAAGTTTATGCAATTTTGCTAAAAATTTTACCCAGTTCCTGCCCCTCTTGCCTCCAGTACACCTCCATTCCCTATTCTCATGGGTTCCCATCCCCCTGTCCCCCACCAAATAACTCTTAGATACTGGGAATTGCTTTTGGAATTAGGAAAGAAAGTGTTTATACACAAACCAGTGACAAACGTTTTATACCCGAAATGCAGTGGTTTTTTTTTTTGTTTTTGTTGTTAACAGTACAAGGATATGAATTATTTAGAACCGGACCTTCTTAATTTTATCATCAACTACAATTTGATAATATTTTTCACAGGTTAATGCTTCAGCCATTAGTCTTGTAAATGGTTGGTAAATGGTTTATCAATCAGATTGGAACATACAGGGTAAAAAAGGGCATTTTATCACCAGCTTCTGGAAGTGTGTCTTCAATTTTCTCTTCAGTAAGTTCTTGTTAAGTATTTTATCTTTTGCTTGTTTGTGTGCCTTTTGGTTCTTTCTTGTTTTCTTTACAATTACAGTTTCTGAAAATATTGGTTCCATGGTTCTTGTCCAAAAAGATGTTTAATGAACATGACATATCTATTTCATCAGTTTCTCAGCAAATGAGTGCCTAAATCAAGGAACATTTGCTGTGATTGTAACAAAGAAGTATTACTGATCAAATTCAGTCGGTCAAATTTTAACTGACTTAAATGATTGGTCTCTTAACAGTACACATCTTGGGCCCTTTAACTGCATATTCTTTGGAAAAAAATGATTTAAATTATATAGCTTGCTTTAGAAAATACACTTTCTCA